AGTTCTACATATTACATTACTAAAAAGATTCAGCAGCAAGTAAATAAAGTACTGTTGAACAGTGAGATTTGTTATATCTGCTCTTAGATGTAATTTAGCGACAGTAATTCAAACGGAGTATTTTTAATCTCAAAAATATTTTCATGTTACTTATTCACAGGATCAACAGATAACATATCCAGTAACCTTGTAACTTGATGTCCTTTACCTGCATATGTAGAGGCTAGTTGATTCCAAGTGTGTGTATATATGTTAATTGCACAATAAATGGATAAAACTATTTTTTTATTCTTTCAAGGTACTGTTATGTTTTGTATAGATATGTGATTTACCTTTGAGAGGACTGCTCATAGTTTCATCACCATGTGACCTAAAGGTATAAAGCTCCATCTTACTGAGCTCTGTCCATCTGCAGCATTACATGCTGAGGGAAGATTGCTCAGTTTGAGATCAAACAAGCAAGTACATGTGTTTGTAATGTAAATATGTAAATCCCAGGTGCAGTGATAAAAGTTCATGGAATTCTTCAGTACTACTTGACACATATTTTGCATTTTAGTAAGGCATTTCAGTGAGCAGTCAACCAAATTACTGTGGACCTGGTATCATATATAGGCCAGATCAAGGTAGTTATGAATGGCAGAGATAACAAGGTGTAGAGCTGGATGAACACAGCAGGCCAAGCAGCATCAGAGGAGCAGGAAGGCTGACGTTTCGGGCCTAGACTCTTCTTCAGAAATGGGGGAGGGGAAGGGGGTTCTGAAATAAATAGGGAGAGAGGGGGAGGTGGATAGAAGATGGATAAAGGAGAAGATAGGTGGAGAGGAGACAGACAGGTCAAAGAGGCGGGGGTGGAGCCAGTAAAGGTGAATGTAGGTGGGGAGTTAGGGAGGGGATAGGTCAGTCCAGGGAGGACGGACAGGTCAAGGAGGCGGGATGAGGTTAGTGGGTAGGAGATATGGGTGGGGCTTGAGGTGGGAGGAACGGTTAGGGAGGCGGGGATGAGCTGGGCTGGTTTTGGGATGTGGTTGGGGGAGGAGAGATTTTGAAGCTTGTGAAGTCCACATTGATACCCTTGGCTGCAGGGTTCCCAAGTGAAATATGAGATGCTGTTCCTGCAGCTTTCAGGTGGCATCATTGTTGTCCAAGGAGTGGGAGGGGGAGTTGAGATGGTTCGTGACTGGGAGGTGTAGTTGTTTGTTGCGAACCAAGCGTAGGTGCTCCACAAAGCGGTCCCCAAGCCTCCGCTTGGTTTCCCCGATGTAGAGGAGGCCACATCTGGAACAGCGGATACAGTATACCACATTAGCAGATGTGCAGGTGAACATCTGTTTGATGTGGAAGGTCTTCTTAGGGCCTGGGATGGGGGTGAGGGGGGAGGTGTAGGGGCAGGTGTAGCACTTGCTCCGGTTGCAGGGAAAAGTGCCGGGACGGGGTGGGGCTGGAGGGGAGTGTGGAGCGGACAAGGGAGTCCCGGAGAGAATGGTCCCTCCGGAGAGCAGATAAGGGTGGGGAGGGAAAAATGTCTTTGGTAGTGGGGTCAGATTGCAGATGGCGGAAGTGTCGGAGGATGATGCGTTGGATTCGGAGGTTGGTGGGGTGGTACGTGAGGACGAGGGGGATTCTGTTTTGGTTGTTATTGCGGTAGCGGGTGTGAGGGATGAGTTGCGGGAAATGCGAAAGACTCGGTCGAGGGCATTTTCAACCACTGTGGAGAAGAAGTTGTGGTCCTTGAAAAACGAGGACATTTGGGATGTCCGGGAGTGGAACGCCTCATCTCGGGAGCGGATGCAGCGGAAGCGAAGGATTTGGGAATAGGGGATGGCCTTTTTGCAGGAAGGTGGGTGAGAGGAGGTGTATTCTAGGTAGCTGTGGGAGTCGGTAGGCTTGAAATGGATATCAGTTTCCAGGTGGATGCCAGAGATGGAGACAGAGAGGTCCAGGAAGGAGAGAGAGGTATCAGAGATGGTCCAGGTGAACTTAAGGTTGGGGTGGAAGGTGTTAGTGAAGTTTCCTTGCCTAAAAGGCATAGATGAACATAGATGAGCTTTTCATGGGTGTGATGTATTTGGACTTCCAGAAGGCATTAATTAAGATATCTCACAAAAGACTGAATCATAAGGCAAGACAGCACAGTTTTGGAGATAGTATTTTGGCAATGGATAGAGAATTGGCTAATTGGCAGGAAACAACGAATGGGAAGAAGGGACTTTACAGACAACACAGAAACGGGTGGCAAGACAGGTTGTGAGAGGGATACAAATAAATTACAGAGAGATATTGATTGGTTAAGTAAATGGGCTAAAAGTTGGCAATGGAGTACAATGTGGGAAAATGTGAAGTTGTTCATTTTGGAAGGGAGAACAAAATATTATTTAGTGGAGAAAAAACTGCAGAAAGCTGCAACACAAACGGACTTGGGAGTATTTGTGTATGAAACACAGAAAGTTAGCACACAGGTGCAGCAGGTAATCAGAAGGGCTAATGGAATTCCAAGGGGGTTGGAGTGTAAGAATAGGGAAGTTTGACTGCAACTGTTCGAGGTGTCGGTGAGACCTCATCTGGAGTTCTGCGAGCAGTTTTAGTCCCCTTGATTAAACAAATATGTCATTTTACTGGAGACAGTTTAGGGAAAGTTCACTAGGATGATCCCTGGTATAGAGGGATTTTCTTACGAGCAAAGGCTTAATAGGTTGAGATCCTTCTCACTGGAGTTTAGAAGAATGAGAGCTTGAGGGGCTTGATAGGGTAAATGTTGAGAGGATGTTTCCTCTCTTAGGAGAATCTGAGATCAGAGGGCATAGTCTCAGAATAAAGTTTAGGATGGGAAGGAATTTCTTCCCTCAGAGGGCTGTGAGTCCTTGCCACAGAGAGCTGTAGGGGCAGAGACCTTGTGTATCTTTAAGAATCATGAGTTATTCAGCACAGAAGCGGATCCTTTGGTCCAACCAGTCCATGCCAACCATAATCCCAAACTAAACTAGTCCCTCCTGCTTGAATTGCTCCCTATCCCTCCAAATATTTCTTATTCATGTACTTATCCAAGGCTGAGATAAGATTGTTGATCAGTAGGGGAATCAAAGGTTACAGAGAAAGGGCAGGAAAGTGGAAGTGAGGAATTTTGGATCAGCCATGATCATATTGAATGGCAGAACTGGCTCGGGGGATCAAATAGCCTACTCCTGTTTTTATTTCTCATGCTCTTGTGGTCTTAACAACAACTGACAATAGTCATCATGGTCAACATCACTTGCTTTATATACTAGAGTTACTAATTGAATTCAAGTTCCATTGGCTACACAGAATGTTAACCAGATCTGTATTTTCCATTGCATTTGGATGCATTAAACATGCTTAAATTACCCAAGCTAGAATTCATTGGACATTAAAATAAAACAAAGAACACTAGAGATCTGAAACAAATATAAACAGAAATTGCTGGAGAAACTCAGTAGATCTGGCAGTATCTGTGAAGAGAAAACAGCATTAACATTTCATGTCCAGTGACAATTCCAGAACCTCTGAGTTTCTCCAGCGATTTCTGCTTTTTTCACGACATTGGACAGGGTGGGGTAGAGGTAATCATCTCATTCGTCACTTTGAAAGTGTATTGCTCTTGCTTATGTGCTTCCTGTGGTGGCACTGGTTAAGATCAGGAGCCTAGAGCATTGTAAGAAAATTTGGAAATGACTATCTGTGACATAGTGGTTCACCAATGTCACCCAGTAGTATGTACAATTTCCTATATTGAAGAGGAGCCAGTGGAAAGACTTGAAGCATTATTCTGTAGGACTTCAAGTGTGATGGAATACGTTAAATCCAGCATTAGAAAAATGAACACGTTTCCTGTCAAATCCTTTACTAGGGCCCAGCTGTCTCTTCATAAATAGAAACTGCTATTGTAATCATGGGACTGTAAAAATAAGAAAAAAATGTAGTCATCCTTGTATTCTTTTATTAGAGATGTCTGTCTGTCTGTCTATCTGATTAACAGTTGATCAAACACGGATAGCGGTCTGAAAATTTTGTCAAAATAACCTTCTGGAAAAGAAAAACAGCAAATTTCACTTAGTCTGACCTCTACTGACATTTTATGAGACCATGGGAATGCATATCAGAATGTCTTAGCATTTGAGAAATGATGTTACCCCAATGACTCCTCCCAGATAAGAAACAGGGAGGCTGCTTACAGTTTCCATTAGCATTAACGTGCCAACCAATGTCCCTTTATAATTCAAATTGTAAAAGCCATTTTTTCATAACTTTTACTGACTTCTTTAATAATACTTTGCGTATTTTACCTATGCATTTATGGAACATAAAAACAGATATATTACCTTGTGCAAAATGGTGTATGAATGTTTAACAAGGTTGTATAAAATTACACTGCAAATTATTGAAGTTGCTAACTAGTTAATATAAATGGATTTTAAGGACATCTACATGAAGACAACAGACAAAGCAATTTGCTATGAATATGTCAAACATATGTGCACTAATATTACACTGTTTTAATTTTTAGGATAACTAATCATTAACAATTTTATACACAAGCTGCAGAAATCGAGATATTTTGATAATGAGGAACAGGTGATGGTGTAGGGGGAGGATGCTAGAGAATCTGTGACAGATTACTAGGTTGGTGCCTTTGTATAGATGATGTGGCACAAACCATTTTCAGTTATTTCTGGGTCAAGTTATAGCTTTGGCAGGGAACTGGATCAATTCCTGTCAAGAAAATAGATACTAGATCATAGCAAAATTAAAGGGTCTGTTGGATTTAAATGGAGTTTAAAAGAAATGAGAAAAAAAAATCTTTGGTGAGGTGGATGGATATGGATAAGCCAATGAATGAGGTCCCACATTGACTGTGGTGGGGCATTTTGATATTTGACCTGTCAAATGACCATTTCACATTTAAAGCTTTACTTTCTGAAATGAAGTGAGCAATTTTGGAGGTCATTCAATTCTAAATTGACACCTGCAGATTAAAAACTTACCTCATGTATCACAGTAGTCTTATTTTCTACAGGAACCTCGTCAAAAGTTTTTACACTTATTGGCCTCTTCTTTGCATTGTTGCTGTTGAGTCTATCAGCAAAAAGAGACATAGAATGATGACTTAGTGCAAGCAGGTTGATAATGTGGAACTAGAAATGAAGCAATAGTACAAATATCAGGTTAATTTTCCTCTACAGAAGATAATAACTTTGTTTTCTTTTCTACAACTTAATGAGCACTTCTTGATTAGTCTAAAAATTAACAAACCCGATGACTCCTGTGCAATTGTAATTAACTTTTGGATTTGTTATGTCTTCTGTGAGGCTGGGGTCTGCAGAAAGGTTCGAATCACCATCTGCTGGCAGCATAGTATTCAAAGGAATATAATCTTTTCCATCCTATAAAAAAACAGAAAGGAAGTCAGAGAATGAAAGAAAGTGTGTAGAGTTCAGCACCAGTCAGCTCAAAATGTTTTCTCTCAACAGTTTACATTGCTGATTCATTTAAATTGAACATTTGAACATTTGCACACAACAACATAGGTCTGGTTTGGTCTAATTGCTTTTCGGGGTAATAGAAAGCTCAAATACTTGGAGTTGGGAGGACAGGAGGAGCATGTGGTGAATAATCTTCCAGAGATAGACCCTATTTCTAGACGGAGAATGGATAACACTTTACTTTCACTCTTCCTTCATAATTTCGGATAGGCTGAAAAAAATCAAATCTTTTTAGCTCGCTTTAAAAAATAGTACACTCAAAATTTAAAGAGAGCATCTTTTCCCAACAAATTGAATTGTAAAATCTTTTTTGCACCAGCTGTTCATAAACGTGGTACTCACAATAAAGCCAAAATTGCTCACCCTCACCAAAGCTTTGGCAGACATTTGCTATGTATTTCTTAGTCTCTGTTCATGGCTTGTCCAGCCACTGTGTGTTTCCAGAGTTGGGCATTCACAGATGGCAGTTCAAGAAGCTGTCTCACTATCATCTTTACAAAATGGTGGTTTTGCCAGCAATGCCCACATCTCATGAAAAATAACAAAAAATGCTGAGAGCAGCCTGCAAGCAAGCCATTGTATGTGATTGTGAATTCTTGTCAACAAGCGAGCAACACATTCCAGGTGATTCTGACATATGTATGATGATCTTATATTGCCAGTTGTGTTTTTTTTTAATCTTGGAATTGTTTATGAGAATGTGAGCTTCTAGTTTTACATATTTTTGTTGAATATGTGCCAAAGAAGATTTCAGTCAGCTACAGAGGGTGTCTGCTGTAACAACAAAGCAGTTCATTTGAAATATGTTGAAAGGAATTGAATGCCATTGTTTGATCTTGGTAACAGAAGTGCTAATGCATACATATGAAATTCCCCTTACTAGTCAAAACAGGCACTAAAACACTTGAAACATTTGGAATACTGCTCCCTCTAAAATAATGGAGAAAATAATTTTACGCAAATAACTTTAAAACGTACAAAATTTCAATTTATGAGGGGAAGCTTGGTATTTGCTTGCAAACACAATTCTTTTTTAACAGTAATAAAACAATATCTCACACTCAGCTCTTATATGTTGGCCCAGGCTAATTCTGAGAGAATTTTGATAAACATTCTTGTCTTTTTCAGAGAAAGGGAAATGAAGAAAGTTTCAGATATTGATAACCCAGTTATAAAATAGGAATTTTGGCAGTATAATGACATTTCAGCTCTTTGTTAAAACTCCTCATGAATCATTGTTGATGAGTATTACAGCATATGGGCACATTCTGCTTGTAAAGCAGTAGTTTGTAAGTAAAATTTCAAACACAGTTTAAATGTCATTGTGTAGCTCATATTATCACTATCTGCAATTATGGATCAAGAGTCCTGTGAACAATGTGCACAGAAGAAGTTTTATTTTACAGAAAACTGACTGAATAATATGCAATTCTGTAAATGACCAACATGATTTTTTCAGGCAGGAGAATATTCTATGTTTTATTAGTTGAATGTGAGGGCAATAATGAGTTTGGTAAGGTTTTTGGGGAAGATGGTGAATTACCAGTAATGTCACTGAACGAGTAATCCATTAGGACAGATTAATGACCTGGCAATACAAGTTCAAATCCCACCATGACAGTTGGTAGAATTTAAGTTCGATAAACACAGAATTAAAAGCTAGACCCATAAAGTTGATGAATAAACCGTTACTGAATATAGTAAAACCCCATAATGTCCTTTAGGGAAGGAAATTTGCCATCTTACCATGTCTGGCATACATGTGACAGCAATTTGGTTGAATATTAACTGACCTTTGAAATGGTTTGAAAACCATACAGTTCAAAGACAGTTAAAGATAGGCAATAAAGTTTAACCTTGCCAGAGATGTCCGTGCCTCATTAGGGAAAAAAAAATTAAATCACATATTTTAGAGTTAGAAGGTGAACACAAATATTTTTGGAAGTGTCAGCTTCTGTAAAATTGTTTTTCTGCTCGCTATCCTGATAATGTTTCACAAGCTATTATATTACACACTGACAGATTCATGATAGGTTAATCTGTGAAACATGAACTTTTTTCTTCTAAAAGTCCCATCATACCTGGAAATATAAATCACTTTTAAGAAATATATTTACTTTCAGAATTAGTTCATTCAGGGATTAATCATGTTATCTAGGTTTACATTTCTATTAGAATCCCACCATTTCCACAGCAGGATGCATCAATTAGAATTCCCACAATGTCAATTATGCACACAGTTGCATGCTGTATATCTGAATTACTGAACATGTCATCAATCCAATCAGTTATTCAGTTTTGTAGTAAGAGAACTGTTATAAGATCAGGATTATTGGTCTATTCATTGTTTATTTTCATTTTTTCTTTTAAACAGCTTCTGCCATTAAATTTGCAGGTCAGGTTAACATGAAAATGACAATCATATAACAAAGGATCACGCTTGGAGATTTACAAAATATTTAAATCCTTCTTGGTACAGTCATGAATTAGGTGCTTTATTATTTGCAAAGTCATGCTGACTAAACTCCAAGTAGATCAACTGAATATAATCATCTTAAAATGAACTAAAACTCAACATTGGATTTACTGCCAAGTGCACCAGCTTGAGGCAAACAGTGTTCATAACAATAATAGAACATGTGGGAGTTAGACTTCTAATTGTGAGCAACCAACAAGATTATCTTAACTGGAGATGGATTTGGTGTGAGCTTTTCTTTAAGCATGAAGTTTCAACCATGAGAAAATAATCTCTGAAGGAAGCATTCTCATTGTATTTACTCATTTTCTTCATCAGTAACTTCCGTGTTGGTTCAGGGATATGTGAAATACATGTGTTGCTATGTTTGAACCTGTTCCAAAATATTAGGAACAAGGTTGTGGCATGTTGCAATGCTTTCAACAGGCCACTCAAAACAGGTCAGTGCTCACTGATTATTTTGTTGAAATGGCATTCTAAGGCACACAAATCTTTCCATACAAAACATACTGATATTGAGCAGTAAGAGAGCATATATATTTTATCTATGGTAACCCCCGTTGATTGAATATTAAACAAAGATTGTTCAACCCCTCTGACATTTCTACTTTTGGGAATTGTTGATTTTTATTTTTGCCTCCTTCCCCCACTTCCCTGAAGACCTCTTACCCACTTGGTTCTCCTACCTGCTGAACATTGGCTTGCAAAAGATCTCCCAGCTGTTCCACCAGCTCACTGAAGGTAGGCCTTTCTCCTGGCTCTCCATGCCAACAGTCTAACATTGTTTGATAGCTAAAACAGAAACATAGCAAGAGTATTAACTGACTTGGTTAGCAATATATCAAACCTATTCACTCAGGTCTAGCAAGTCTTTGTGTAGTGTTTGCTGTGTAAGTTTCCTAGCTGCTTTATAGAATATAGAATCCCTACAGAGTTGAAACAGGCCCTTAAGCCCAACAAGTCCCCACCGACCCTCAGAGTATCCCACTCAGGCCCAACCCCCGATAACCCACCTAATTTACACATCTCTGACCACTCCAGGCAATTTAGCATGGCCAATCCACCTGGTCTGCACATCTTTGGACTGTGGGAGGAAACTGGAGCACCTGGAGGAAGCCCATACAGACACAAGGAGAATGTGCAAACTCACACAGACAGTTGCCTGAGGGTAGAATCGAACCCAGGTCCCTAGCACTGTGAGGCAGCAGTGCTCACCATGAGCCACTGTGCCACGCTTATTGTTAGTTTTATCTGTGTAAAAAGGGGTATTAGTAATTTTGCTTTAGAAGTCATATCTCTAGACTCCCATCATGCTGCAGCTGGTCAAGGGTTATGTAAAGGAGTCTTAAATTGGCAAAAAAAAGAACCTTACACTTCTATCTTTTATTTTGAATGCTTGAGTGTTGGAGTTTGTCTAAAATTCAAGTTACAGCCTGTGTTCTGCTGGTCATGAAGACTGCAAAGCACAGTTCATCCACCAGAGGGCAGAAATCACAGCCAACCTTTTAATCTGCTGAAAGATTGAGAGAACAAATCCTTCGACCATGAAACTCAATCAGGTGCTGACTGCTGCCCACCATGCTGAGAAAGAGGAACCAAAACCCACCTTATGAAAATGGTGGATCTGGGAGCAGAAGTGCAGTTTTATTAGGAGTGTACAAAACAGGCCTAAAGATGAAGAGACCAAAATTTAAAAAAAAATACTTTAATGAAGCTAAAAACAAAAAAAAAACTGGAAATCACAGCGGGTTAGGCAGCATCCATGGGGAGAGAGTAAGCTAATGTTTTGAGCCGAGATGACTCTTCATCAGACTCAGGTAATGTAATAAATCTTTCTTTGACTGGATTTTGCCTTTCAGCTCCAGTTCTGAATTCAGGCTAAAGATGGAGTCCAGCTCTCTGCGGGTATTGGTCTCAGTGGCTAGGAGTGTTGGAAGAGATGGGGTGCTAATGGGGAACTCTTCTGCCATACCATCAAACTGTAGATGCTGGGCTGGGTAGAATAATAACCCACCTGTTCAATGTAAAATTATAAGCTCAATTTTTCACCAGTGAAGTATAAGCTTGATGGATCTGGGTTCTGCCACAGGTTATTTCAACCTACCACAATTATATTGTACACCACATGTCACCTCCCTGAGATCATATTTTATTTAAATTTATCTCCAGTTTTGCCAAACTATATTCAAAAGCTTACCTAAAAAATGGACTTTCATTATTTATAATTACTATTATAATTGGAACAGTTCTGCTCCAAAAAAGAAGAGATTGGATGAAAAATCTTACACTTCTGATGTAGAATATTCAGGGGGCTTCATCCTTGTACCTTCTTTTAACTTGTGGCAAAATTCTTCATCTATTTGCACCCCTGGATATGGAGAGGCACCTACAGCCGAGGAAAATAACAGACAACATTTACTTCTTTTACCAGAAATCTTCTCCCATTCGTAGGTTCAACAAGTATTGTATTTTTTTAACCTTTTCCAAGTGGTCTTTGTGAGCATGTATACTTTAACAATCATCATCAGCAGATCACTTGACCACATTAGAAGATGCAGTCAGGCCCATTGTTGTCCTTAATTTTTGTCTATATCCTTTAAAGGCAGGGACATCAGTGACACCCTACGCAACCAGTTTTGTATGGAAATAGATTGATACATGACAGATTGGGAATTGAATCTAAACTACCTAGCTTGGTCAAGCACTTAAAACTGTAAGTAGCTGAAGAGTCTGTCCATTCCAGGCCGGCGGCATCCTTTCCTCTCTCTATTTTCCATCTTTTTACATTTTCTTTTCTTTCTTCATCTTTGAGGCCGGAGCAGGGCGGCAGCTGTAACGTCAGCGGCTTGGATTGGGATGCATGGTGGCAGTGGCAGTGCCTGGAGCAGGGGCTCCTGGTGGCAGTAGGCCCGGAGCCTGAACTTTTGGTTGTGGTGATGCCTGGAGTAGGCACCCCTAGAGTGGTGGGTGCGTGGAATGTGCTGCCGGCGGTGGTAGTGGAGTCAGATACATTAGGGACATTCAAGCGACTCTTGGATAGGCACATGGATGATAGTAAAATGTAGGGTATGCAGTGTAGTTTGATCTTAGAGTAGGATAATAGGTCGGCACAACATCATGGGCTGAAGGGACTGTACTGTGCTGTGCTGTTCTATGTTCTATTTTCTAGTGGCAGTCGGCCTGGAGCCTGGATTCTTGGTGGTGGTAACAAGGTGCCAGCTGTGCTGGTGGCGGTGCCTGGAGCGGGGACTCTTGGCAGTGTTGGTGAGGTGGTGGCAGCAGCAGAGCTGGGGTCTCCTGGGGCATCGGTGTTCTTGTTGCTGTACCTAAAGCAGGGACTGCTTGAGGCCCGGAACACCTTGCAGAGGCCTTGCAGAAGCCCTGAAGCCATGCTTGAGACCCAATTTGAACAGAAGATGAGCTCTATTTAAGTAATTTCTTTTTATTCTTTTTATAACTCGAAATGGCGCTGAATTGTGGCAACACAACACTTTTCACTGTATCTTTCTAGATGTGTGTGACAATAAAATCATTCAGTCATATCAGGATATACTAGCAACTCCTATGATGTCACGCCATGACCTGCAAAAACTGTATCTGTAAGGGAAATTTCAATGGAAGTCAGATGGAAATGAAAGACTAGCTACAAGGGTGTCATTCTCATCATCCTAATCCCACCAGGGAAAGACCTGGGAAGTGAGTACTGTCTGCCAATATCATTAAAGATGCAACTCGTTATTTTTAATTTTTAACAAGGTGGCAGGAAACTGCCTAGGTAAACGAATGCCAAACCTACAGAGCAGTGAATAAATTTTGCTCACTAAATTTCAAAATAATATGCCAAAGAAAGAATGAAAATCCCTTTGGAGTCTCTGTCCTCCCTAACTCATTTGAAAATGATTGAGCTGATGTATTTCTGCAGCAATTCATTTGTGAAACATAGAGTTCTGCACTGCTGACTCATTATTCTTCATTTCAATTGCTTAACACAGAGATTTGGCTTTCTATATTTTTCAGCTAAATAATACAAAATAATAAACAGATCAATAATTGTGAAATTTCTGGGTGAGCCACATGTCAGGGATTGGAGAAATGTCAAGGATTGATACCCATGACTAGTGATATCAAGGGATTAGTATAGGCAAAGACCACTTAGCCCCTTGAGTCTATTCTATCATTCAACTGGATCATAACTGATCTAACCTTTATAGTAACTAGGTTTAGCAAAGGGAGGTTGCTGTACATGTTTTATGGGCATGTTTTAGGGAGATGAGCGAGAAACCTTCCACCTCCAATAATCACAGACAAAATGTCTTCAGGGTGACAGTGTGTATATTATATACATGATTATATACCTTCCTCCAACCATCAATCCTATCACTTCCCTCCAGCTCAATCCTCTTCACTCTCTGACAAATAATCGATTATGTTTTATTCTAGCTATTTACAGAACAATTTGAAGGTATAGTGCAGGAATTTGGATTATGATAAATTTTACAAATTAGTGAAAGTCTGATAAACCAATACTTCCATGTCATAAAATATGAAAGCATGTGGAAATAGTAGAACTTCTGTTTAAAATACTTCTTATTTGGAGTTTAGCATTTTCCTAGTCTGTTTCTAAAACAGGCCACAACTGTAACTGATTAATTCATTCAGCACATGCAAGGTAACTACAAAAGCAAATATACTCCCACTTTTCTTCCTGGCATTAATTTTCCATGATTTGTAGTTTAATATGTTGCAGCCAAACCATCTTACAGAATTACAGAGTTTAACAGAACTGGAAAACTGGCCATCTTTGTGTATTATTAAAAAGAGGCAGATTTTCCTTTGGGTCACCTAAATCAACAAGATAAGGACATTAACTGCTAGACTTTGAAAACCAATCACAGACATTCTCTACTTGTATTTATCCAGCCTCACTAATGTACCACAGCAATGAGAAACTTGGCAGAATTTCATAATATTCTTTGCCAGTCCTTCCTTCGCACAAGAAGTGATGTTTTGATTGTCTTTCTAATATTGCCACATGATACTCTGATTTATTATCTCCTTTACGTTCTACCTGATGATCTTGGGAATTGTCATTTAATGGGAGAAGTCTCACTTCTCTTGCATATTTACATTTCACTTTATCACCACTTACAGACAAGACTGAAAATCTATCATTCTCATTGCTAATACAGTAGGAATCTGTGTGTGACTCTAATATCAGAAAGTCTCATGAAGTGGATATTATTGAACACTATTAATTATGGGATCAATGATCAATGATACTGTTAAGCAAAATTGACTTAATGTGTGAGTCCATTTTCATAATATAAACTGAAAACCACAGACAAACTGTGAGTTGATGGAAGGATTTTCTTTTCAGACCATAATGACAGAGGCTAATATAAAGGTTCAGTTCGCCTCATCAGTGTGCTACAAGTAGGATTTTGCAGCTATTAGTTGTTTTCTGAATGAGAGTATTATACCAAGCGTGCAACAAGGGATATTCAATTTGTATTTACAGTAAAGGTCTCCCTCAAGAAACAACACTGTACTATGACCTATAGCCCCTGGTGTCGTTGACTCGCTATTTACTTTGTGTAATAGATTCCCCTGAACAAGAATGCAAAAAAAAACTTGCATTTTAAAGTTGAAATTTGCAACACTCTCTCCAGCTGCTCAATGTTCTCCGGCATTTGGTGTCAGTCGTAGTGTTTTAAGGCCAGTGGAACATTTATATAAGCAAAAGGGTGGGAGGTTTGAAATACTTGCCCACTGTGCTCGCTAACATTTGTAAATAATCAGCAACTTCTGTCCAGTCTCTAAATTCCATCTCATGAGAAAAGAACAACATTTCCATCATGGAAGCTGGAGATCCCACCATAGTTAATATTGGAATTGCCACTCTGTTATTTGAATGAGTAAAGACAACTTTGTTTGCAATTAGATAGTGCGGCTATCGTTTCATAATTCCGGCATTTATTTGGACAGTTATCTTATTATTGAACTTGATATAAAAGGTTGGCTGGATGTAACACATTAAACTGGGTAGGAAGGATTGCATGCTCATAATGAAGCTTGTCTAATTTTCTAGCCTTTACAGGTGTGGAATCCTGCTTTGTGGAATTTTCTCTCTGTGCAATTCTTAAAACCAAATACAAGAGAAAAACCTGTTCTACTGTTTTTATACCAGCTTGGTATTTTCATTATTCTGCAAAATTACTTTCAGGTGCTGTAGACCTCAGGAAATTGTGGCTGATGAATTTTCATCTAATTATAAACAGTAACACAGTAACTGTTTGCTTAGTTTTGTCACCATGTAGCTGTGCAAGAAACAGTACATAAGGATCTATGAAATCAGTAAAAAGATTTCAGAAGACAGTTCTCAAAAAAAAATTCATTCTTGCTTTATTGCACAGGGTAAAAATTACATTTAATACTTCCGTTAAATCAAATAATCCACTCTATTGTGACAATTGATGCAGAAGATGTTTATGAGCTCTATATACATTTAACTAGATTTGGAAAGAAGGCTTGACTGGGTGGTCAATTTGCTGTGGTACATTCCTCATTATGTTATTTATTTTTTAGAGTTGCATTGAATGCCTCTCCCTCACTGCTTATTACATAGAAACATTATCATTTTTTTCCAATAGTAGTCACACCTAACGTTAAATCAATTCAAAATATTGCACATTCTGCAGTGCCAATTATTTCACCATGCAGCCGAGCTAAAGAAACAGAAATATTTTACTGAACAATAGTGTATGTAACATCTTTATAGTCATAAAATCTATTTTACTTTGAGTTTACTCACTAAAAGGAGCATTTCATGGAATCAGAAGGATTCTTTTTGTATGGAAGGAGGTGAAAAATTGAACATCAGTAGGACCCTCAAACAATACTAACACTAGCCCCCAAGGGGAAGATGATAACGCTGCTATTAATGGTCATGGATAAAAGGTATTTGGACGATTTCAGTAAATGTTCACCAACGTTCGGGAATTGTGTTACATAAATTAGAAAGATAACAGATCTAGTTTCCATGAACATGCCAAGCTGAACTGACTGACACCAGTTGAAGGCACTACAGATATCAAATGGGCCAAATTCACATCCAGAATCTTTTACTCACTTCTCTTTTTCAGTTGCTTAGTGATAATTGACAATTAAGTATTTCATAATGTTCAGGTGGTTAGCAACACCTAGAGGTTCACTTTAAACTGCTACTATAAACTGGAACAAATTGAAACTGTGTTTGCTGGTTTAGGAAGTGCATATTTGTATTGCAGATCTCTGTGTGTAAAAGTTTAAAAAGTGTTTAAATGTTAGGCTGATCTTCCATATTTTGTTGCTTGACTTTATGGAATAGAATGGAATGGAACATTCTGTTCATGCTTAGAATTTTGAAATGGGAATAACAAAGACAGTTTATTAGCCAAAAGGCTTTCACAGCTAATTTTTCAGGCAATGAAATTCCTGGATATTGTGGATTAATATGGTCAATCAAGCAGGGAAGGAAGATTCCCTTCCTTGACTAAGTGCAAAGGTTAGTGAAAATCTTTCTTATTTCAAGTAAAGTTATAAAAGCATAGCAAAAGATATTGGGAAATCTTCCTACTACATCGGTAAGATGTAATGCCAAATTTTCTCAGGAGAAACAACCGTACCTAGATTGTCACTCTGCTCATTTTATTTTAGTTAAGAAGAGCTCCACAATCATGAGAGGAGATTCTAATCAAGGCTCCTTCAGAAACTTAGAGGCAGAACTTAAATCTGCCAGGTTTCCTGTAGCCAATGTTATGCAGGTGGGAGGGGTGTAGGGGAATGTAAACTATGACCTACTTCTGACAACCATTAGTTGATGTATTTGGGATTTAATGGTCTAGCATCAAAGACAAATGCTTTGACAGATCCTGTGAAAGAATAAGTACACGAGGTAAGTGTGAGGTTAGGGTGCCAGGTGGGTGGGGTAGCAGGTAATTGGAACAAAAACACAAACTGCTGGAAAAACTCAGCAGGTAGCATCTGTGGAGGGAGAAAACAGAGTTAATATTTCTGGTCCGGTGACCCTCCTTCAGAATGAGCTAATAGGGCGCCAGTTATGTATAGTTCCAAGTGGGTAGGGTGCCTGGTAGAGGTTGGTGAAGGTTTTGGTATCAAATCTGATTGAAGAGATGGTTTGGGTCCAGTGGTGGTCGTAGCGGTGGTGCAGTGCTGAATCAAGTGGCAGGGGAGTCCCAGCGCGTGGTGTAGGTGATGCTGGGTCTGGGTAGGGGGAAATGTCAGGCCTGGGATAGAAGGGTGTTGTCTGGTCAGGGTCTAGGGAGATTTAGTTGTGTGTCATTAGGTTTGGGAGGGATCAGTTGATTGTTTCATAGGAGTTAGACTGGGTTTTAATAGCCAATCTCTTCCTGTGTAATTGTTTAATTAAGTGTAGTGGAACCCTTCCAATACTCTGATTTTTAATTGAAAACTTTTGATTGTTTCCAAATGTCAGGGAATCTTTAACTTCCAAGGCAATTGCCTTGGAGTCTGCTACTTTGGGGCTTCTATGAGTGTCTGACCAAAGGAAAACCTGAAGAGATCATCCACTAGTTCTCTTTTTTTTACTTTAAATAATCACATAGTTGATGTAGATTTTCATACCTTTGAGAATCTTTCAACTGAGATGCCATGCACAAATGGTCAATTTAGATTAACCTCATTTCAATAATGTCAATGATTTATGATAAAATCACATGTTTCATATAATGGTGAATTCAGATTTGCTAAAATTGTGAACAATGCAATTCAAACTGAAGACATTAACCTTTGTCATTACTGCCCAACACAATTTCAAGCCAACTTAATATTACAACGTACTATTTGAATCCATTGTATTGTTATTCCTGATGTATAAACTGACCCTAAAAGCACACAGATCTGTTTACAATACAGTGATGCATAAAGTTTAAAAAGGAACTGGATACCTCTTCTAAAGACTGCCTGATAATTTTAAAATTACTTAATGTTGACTTTTTGTTTTGTTTTGACATGCAATCTCAAGCAACATTTAAATGTAAACTGATTGCTTCCTGGTGTTAAGTATTCCTTTTGTTTTTTCAGGCTTACCTAAGGAAAATATTTCCCACAGCAACACTCCAAAAGACCAGACATCACTCTGAGTTGTGTAGATTTTATCAAATATGGATTCTGGTGCCATCCACTTGAGTGGGAGTCGAGCCTGCAAAGATGCACAATTCTTTGTCAGCCACTGGGCCACTGAGGAAAAATCAGGCACTAGTATTTCAGCATCAATGATTGAGAGCTGCCATTCTTATACACTTACATCTCCTTTCCGTACATAATCTGGGTCTTTGTAAATGTCACGAGCCAGCCCAAAATCACAAATCTTCACCACGTTACTCTCAGACAACAGGATGTTCCGTGCTGCCAAGTCTCGATGGATACACTGGAATTGCAATGGAATATTCCGAAGCTTAGAAACCAAGCCTATTATGTCCTTTTGATTGCGGTTTTTAAAACCAAACGGTAATATACATTTTTTTTATGATGTGACCTATTACCTTCTCTGAAAATGGAGGTGAAAGAACTTGTTGCCAGGTCTTTGTCAATGCTAACACAAACCTGGCCTCCAATAAGATTGCAATAGTAACATAGCTTGACTTGCATCATGACATTCCCTCCCTAGTGAGAAATACTAGTCTCTGCTTTGTGCCTTTTCACTGGTGCTTCAGTTCAGATTGAGAACTTTGGCATCCTACCTCCCAGATGTACCCTACTGAGGGTCACCTCTCTCCCCAGGTACAAAGCTCCAGATCATGGTGGGAGTCAGCTGACTTCCTGCCCTCTAGCTATGGCGGCATGAAGCAATTATTTGGTGCTTGGAGCTTGCCAGTGGTATGTATTACATAGAATAGAGAGCAGAAATTACAGAGATGCCCTTCAACCCATCTAATCAGAGTTTATACTCCATGAGTCTTCTTCAAATCTGTTTTACCTCATTTTAGACTTGCAGCATATCTTTTTATTTCTTTTCTGTCATGTGTTAGTTTGGTTTTCTTTTGAAACGATGCAGGCTACATTTTTTTCAATTACTTCCAATAGTGTCCAAGTTTGCATTTAAATCTGGCTCATGCCTCAAAGGGACTCTGACATTATGCCTGCAAGTACGATTTGGTGCTCCATTTTACACCTGATGTTAAAGGCTGGCACTACGCAGTGTGAAGATTTTTTTTTTATCATTTATTCACAACATGTGGATGTCACTGATCAGGTCAGTATTTATTGCCCATCCCTTTTTGCCCAGAGGGCAATTGAGAGTCATCCAAATTGCTGTGAGTTTGGAGTCACGTGTAGGCCAAACAAATAAGAATGGGTTTTTCTAACAATCTGAGCCAGACGGGTCTTTCCAACAATTGTGAATGGTTTCCTGGACATCATTAGACTCTTAACCCCAGATTTAAAAAAAATTGAATTCAAATTCTACCACGGTGAGATTTAAACCTTAGCCTTCAGAACATTACTTGGGTCTCTGGATTAGTAGTCTCATGTTAATATCACAAGGCCAATGTCTGCCTGTAGTCTTAAGCACTGAGTGTTGAACTCCAATGATTATATACCAGTCCTATCTTATTAAGACCATTTTTCCCACAGTATCGATGACTGATGCTAGATATGAAGGTTTGTATCAGTAGCAGGAGTGAAAATGAATTTTTCTTGATGGTAAAAATCTGTCATTTGCAAGAATTGGAAATCAACTTACTTTCCTTGAAGCCAAAAATTCCATGCCTTTGGCTACTTGGAAGCTGTAACAAATCAGGTCTTCCATTCCTAGTGGTCGTTTGTACAGATCTTCTGCATCTGCAAAACAGATGAATCATTAGTAATAGCAGAGTGGATGTAAACGCCAGCATCCCCTGTTTCGATTTGCCCCCTCTGTATTGTCAGGGGACATTCAGAATATTGGAGCAACCGCATGTTCTTTGGACTTCAGAAGTTCTGTCTGCTGCTTTAAGGATATTCTATGAATAGAATCTCACAGATGTGTAGTTGCTTCTGACTCTGTCATAGTTCTTTGGTAATGGATCTCTCCCAGATTCAGACAGAGGTTGGAATGGGCCACCAATGAAAAGCACTCATTACTGACTGAGTGTTAGGTTGAGAGGGTAAGACTGGAAAAATTCTGTGTTTTGTGGGCAGCAGGACTTAGTATATTTACCGATAGTGGCAGAGGGAGTGTCGAAATGAGTGTGGAAACCAATTGCGTGGATATGATGAGCATCCTCTCTGCTTGCCTGCTATGAAGTTTCTGCCTGAAATATATTGTTAGCAGTGAGCATTGGACCTCTACAGTAAACTGGTATTACTCAGCATGTTCCAGTGGTATGACTGACATTAGAATGCTTAATGTTGATAACAGTGCCCAAAATGGAGGCATCTTCTATTTCCAGTGATAGTAGGAACTGCAGATGCTGGAGAATCTGAGATAACAAGGTGTAGAGCTGGATGAACACAACAGGCCGAGCAGGAAGGCTGACGTTTCGGGCCTAGACGCTTCATCAGAATTCTGATGAAGTTCATCCAGCTCTACACCTTGTTATCTCATCTTCTATTCCCAGTCATTAGCTTCCCTTTGTGCTGAGGATACAAATGAGATTATTGAAATAAGTTTGCAGCTATCAAAGGACAAACTTTTGTATGGATTTGTGAGACAGCGTTATCAGCTTGTAACTGTATTGGGGTTGTTTACTCCTGATACCGTAAAGTTTGCTGATAACGCTAATGATAACAAAGTACACAATGCAACTGGATTTATCTGAGCAGTTTAATGATATTGTAAAACCCACAGGATGATTCGATCCTTTGGTGGGTCTATTTTGAACGTTTTAGAGGGTCAATAGAGTTTAGCTTAAAAGGAAATTCTCTATTCATTGCTTTTGTTATAGATTTCTAATAGTCTTGTTATATTAGTGGAAACAATCGTGGCAATTCAATTATTCCCAATGCAGTACGCATAAGGAAGGAAGATGAACATACCTTCCTCCTCCTCTTCTGTGTCACTGTAACTCTTATCTTCCACAAAGCCTGAACTTGTTGAGCTTCCTGTACTTGCCACGCTTTCCAGTCTTCGCTTTATGCCTTCCATTACATCGGGACTGGTCTCATCATCAAGTGTTTCAGGCTGGTCAATGTTTCTCTGACACTAGAAATAGGCAGCAAGTTTTATGATTTATGAGGAAGGCAGGGAAATGCAGTAGATGGGACCAAGTGTGTTAATGGGCAATGGCAAAGAGTCAGCATCACAGCGAACAGACAGCATTCAGATGTGTAATGTCTGAAATATCCTTGTGTGGTGACTACTTGACTTTAATGGCACAGTGATGTATACAAAGCAAAAGATTTAGGTGCCAGGCTGTAATTCAGATGCATAAATTATTTGTTTTTATTTTCTCTTTTCCTGGTTTTATGATTTTATCATTCCAAGTGATGTGTTTATATTTGTGTTTGACTTTTTTTTAAAGTAAGGAACTTACAAGAAGTTTTGTTGTTTCTGATGGTATAATAATTAACTCCATTCAGTTAAAATTCCTTTGCAAGTTATTTCAATGCAATTGTTAAACTATTTTACTCCAAATCATTTTGTGACTGCATGAGAATGATGTTGAATGCAAATAAATTAGCCAGCACGCTGCTGGACTAAATTGTACTACTAAGGGTTTAATAAAAGAAAATATTGATTGTGTTTTTGGCTTTTTACTTACTTTGGTAACCTAAGGATACTAGACTAACAGTGAACATTCAATCATATTCTGTTTTAGGCCATACCTTGACTAAAATGAAGTCGTTCCTCTTGCTCCTGAGATAATTGGATAAGTTGCCATACTTGCAATATTCTACAATTACCATCAGAGGGCCTGGTTTTTAAAAAAAAAACAAATAAAACAACTTTTTAGAGAACAGTGAGTGATTGCCTATCTCGTGGAAACTTATTTTCAGCTGCATAGAACACTGCTTCTTTATATCAGCACACCAACAAAAGGAAAATTTGCTAATTACTGGTGATTTAACCACCAAGTTAATTTTGACAAATCATCTATTATACATCAAAACTTTTCTTACTTCTGCTTGGACGGGCAATGCTTGAGGGAACAGCCACAAGGACACGCTATTCATGACAGTGATAGTATGCTAGATATGAGGAATTGTTTTTCAGAATTCATCAATCAGAATATTATGGGTATATATTAGACAATAACTAATTAGTTGTGGTCACTGACCTCATCATTCAACTAATAACAGAGCATAATATTTTCGCATTGACAGAAGTTGTACAAAGAAACACAAGAGAATGTAATGATCTCTACATAATAGGTTTTCTTTCTTTTTCCACCATGACAGTGTAAACGCTACTGAAGTTTACTCCTATTCCCAGGTGGGAGGGAGAAAATATTAGGCAGCAAGTTTCCATCTTGAAGGTCAGTGAGTAGGTGGATTGCTCATCTGTTCCCAAAGCAAAATTCTGTAGTTACCAGAAATCTGCAAATAAAGCAGAAAATGCTGGAAATTCTCAGCAGATCAGAGGCATCATTGGAGAACGAAATAGAGTTAACATTTAAAGGTTTAACATTTAACCTTTTTTGTCAGAAGTCAAAAATAATACTTTTTTATATGGCTAGTTGAAGACAAGCCAATAGGTAGGTCACAACCAAGATAAATCCTTTTCTTTCTTAATCTGCACACAAGCACTTTACAGCTGAGATCACCTGGTAACGATTGGGAATAGGGAACTCAAGCTGATTTTCCTCACTTAAGTTTTAGCTCTTTGACCACTGAGAGGAGCAAACAGACAGAGTGGAAACTAAACCTCAAACTTTTCTGGTCCACGTGGCTTCCTGCCAATCTGGACAGGCTTCTTTTGTGAAATATATAAGATGTTAATTTTTTGATTTTATTTTGTCATCTTATCTACACAAAAACACCATGATGGAAAAGTTTGAGCATGAAATAAAAATAAATTTTAATTGTAGTAATTGATTGCAGTTTGATTGTAACTGTAAAATCATATGAAAGAAAACATAACTGAAAGTACTGCAGATGTTGGAAATCAGAAACAAAAAGAGAAATTGCTGGAAAAGCTCAGCAGGTCTGGCAGCATCTGTGAAGAGAAATCAGAGTTAACGTTTTGGGTCCGGTGACTCTACCTCGGAGCATCTGAGATGCTATCAGACCTGCTGAGCTTTTCCAAGAAAGAAAACATGGTTATTGTTATTTAATGGATATTAAAAGAAATGTACCCCACATCATCTTGAAAGGTCAAAAAGGCCTCCTCTGTCCTGTGACCATACCATGATGTTATAATTCTTTGTTTGCCAAGGTTCTTTGATAGAATGAGATTGGGGCTGTTAATCTAATTCAATGAAGCCCACCTGGCTGACCTTGTTACAATCACGACAGTGGAGGAGTACTCCATTTCCTGTAGTTTCATAAGAAGGTGCTTTTGATAGAGTGTCAAAAGCATTATGGTGGATGGTGACTGAAAGACCATTGAAAAATCCTAAGCATGTTAGGCTCGGGGTGTGTTTATGTGCACGGTGTTTATATGGTGACCAACTCTTGGGGGAAATGTCTGGAAAAATTTTGACAGTGGGCTCAATGGCTGCAGAGGTTGGGTGTAATTTATTCCACAGCTAAACTGATAGGTTTGCAGGTGTATTACAACAATTTCCACTCCATTATCTCTGCTACTCTTCTGAATGATGGAAATGTAGCATGGATTCTCCCTTTGAATTTTATTCTTAGAACATAGAACATTACAGCACAGTACAGGCCCTTCGGCCCTCGATGTTGCGCTGACAATCTGAAGCCCATCTAACCTACCCTATTCCATTATCATCCATATGTTTATCCAATGATCGTTTAAATGCCCTTAAAGTTGGCGAGTCTACTACTGTTGCAGGCAGGGCATTCCACGCCCTTACTACTCTCTGAGTAAAGAACCTACAAATCCCAAAACAAACATTGGAGCCAGAGATTTAGAAATTGATTTTCTGAAGCTGAATATGAAACTTAAATTGTGATCTGTTATTGTGCACATGTACTATGTTTAATTATTTAAAATTTCAATTGTTTGACTGTGATGTAGGTCAGGGACACCTATTATCTGGAACTACAGTGAAGCAAACAATACATATAATTGATTAACCTCACCTTCACTATAGAAAGCTTGCATCTCATCCCAAGTTAAGAAACAAACACTAAAGAAACTAGGTAGATTTTTTGTTTAGAAAGTCAAAAGTGGAAGTGTTTCTATAGAGACGAGGGCTCTTGCCAATAAGTGAGTAATTCTGGGGATCCAATAAAATTCTTGTGTGCTTTAACATACAAGGGGTGTTTAGTCCTTACCTCCAGGCTTGGTGCAGGCTCCCAGCATGTTCACCACATTCAGATGGTGGCCAATGTGGATAAGAATTTTCAGCTCTGACATCAGAGCTTTGCATTCATTTGTGCTAGCGCCTTCTGTTAAAGAACGAGGTTGAAGTGAATTCACACAATAGGAAAATTGTTGTTTGATCTGTCTACAAAGCAGGGTTAAAAAGCCAAGGTTGCAAGTCTGTTTTTAGAACGATAACAGAACAAGGAAATGATAAAGTTTAGTTTTACTCAAGATTTAGCCTTGATCTCATTTCTTCTAATTATAAATATCAAGATACTCTTATGAACAGAGTATATGGTTATAAATTCCAAACAATACGTTAACAATATATGGCTAATAAGTTAACAATTGAATATGGAATGGCTTTCTAGTCTGTAGCAAAGAAAAGTTGATGGTTTAAATTCCACGATTCTTCCTGTCTCTTGATTGTATGAAGCATCCACTTGTCATTTGTGGTCAGGCTTGCCTTAGTTAGAGAGTGACCTGGAAATAACTGATCCTCTGATTTATTTTCCCTTTCCTCTGTAGCAAGATGGCATTCCTCACCAATGCATATTGAGTTGATGGATTCTTGATGAGGTTTCAGGGCTTTCACCTGCAAGTTAGACAGTAAGTGGGAGAGTGACACTGCCTCTTTTAAGGATGGCCTGGTGAACCACATTCCAATCAGGCATTTGGAGAGGTCACTGACATGCGCTTTACCCTCGAATCAAGACCCTGGGAGATGGCATCCTACCTAGGTAAATCAGACGCTGGAAGCCCTTGAGAGCAACAGTACCAGAGGGGAGGCCATGGTTGCTGCCAGAAGGGCAGGCAGTGGAGACAGGGACGGATCAGTAATGTGCGTAGTGGTGGGTGGGCAGTTGCAAGGAGAGAGGCACAGAGACTTGGGGGAGAGCTGCTCTCAATGGATCTCTCCATTCCCAATGTCCAGTCTCTCAATCATAAAGTGAGTGCCTTTTTACTGAAGAATCATTTCCTACTCCTCACCCCACTCTCTCCCACCCCCAAACCCTTTTCTGACCCTGGAGGTGACAAACTCTCTGCAAACGTTGAGGTTCTCTATAAACTGCACAGCAACAACTGGTTCAATCCTTGTGGAGGTGGGATGAGACCTTTAAATGGTCACCTAGAGGCCACTGTTGGTGGTGGGCTGGAAAGTTGACGGTGGGCCTTCCAGAACTAGATCACCATGTGTGGAACCTTGGAATGGCTGCTTGTGGGTGCAGTGCTTCAGCTTGGAGGAAATGTTACCCCCCGTACTTAATTCTGGTGGAGGTGTAAAAGTGGCATCATTCCACTACGACAACATCCCATGGAAATAAAGCTCTTCCTGCTTCTAAGCTAACTACCAGCAAGAACACAAGTCGGTGGCCAATGTGTCTGATACATGAAAGACTGGTGCAAGTCAGGATGGAGGAGACTGCTGGGGATCAATCTTCTGCTCTGCCTCGATATATCATTATTCACTGGTGTTGGAAAAGTCAGTGTCATCTTGCTACTGAAAAAACATCCCTATTGGAGGAATGAATTAGGCTAATACCTAAAAGCTATTTTAGTTAAACCTTAACTCTGTACTTCTAGTTTCCACCAGTTTACAGATGTAAACATCAATTGTTTGATAAATCTAGAATTACCATCAGCGTCACTCTTCAGTTAAGCTATTGGAATAGGTTTTACTTCCTATGTGGCAGTTACAACTGAATATGAAAAAGAACCACATCCCCTCAGACTAACTTGAATATGACCATAAGAAACAGGAGCAGAAGCAGGCCATTCAGCCCACTGAATCTGCTCCAACATTCAATTATGGCAGGTATGTTTCTCAACCCCATTCTCCTGCCTTCTGTCCATAACCCTTGATCCCCTCACTAATCAAGAAGCTATCTATCTCTGTCTCAAATACACTCAATGATTTGGACTCCACAACCGTCTGAAGCAATGAATTCCACAGATTCACTACCCCCTAGCTGAAGAAATTCCTCCATATCTCAGTTCTAAAGGGTCATCCCTTCATTCTGAGGCTGCGCCCTCAGGTCCAAGTCTTTCCCACTAGTGGAAACATCTCCAATCCACTCCAGTCGGGCCTGTCAGTATCCTATAAGTGTCAATGAGATCCCTCCTCAGCCTTCTAAACTCCATCATTACACACCCAGAGTCCTTAACTGTTCCTCAAACGACAAGCCCTTTATCATCACGGATCATTCTTGTAAATGTCCTCTGGACCAACACATCCTTCGTTAGATACAGCGCCCAACGCTGATAACAGTATTCCAAATGGCACCTGACCAGAGCCTTATACAGCCTCAGCAGTACATCGCTGCTTTTGAATGCTAAGCCTCTTGAAATCAATGCTAACATTACATTTGCTTTTCTGACCTCCAACTGAACCTGTATGTTTGCCTCAAGAGATCCATGAACTTGGACTCCTATGTCCCTTTGTACTTCAAATTTCCGAAGCCTTTCCGTATTTAGAAAACAGTCTATGCCTCTATTCTTCCTATCTAAGTGCATAACCTCACACTTTCCCACATTGAATTCCATCTACCACTTCTTTGTCCAGTCTCCTAGCCTGTACAATACTCTTATTTTATTTAGCAGTCTTCTGTGCAGCACCTTATCAAAGGCTTTCTGGAAATCCAAATAAATCACATTCATTGGCTCTCCTTTGTCTAAACGGCTTGTTACCTCCTCAAAGAATTCTGCCAGATTTGTCAGGCATGTCCTCCCCTTGATGAAGCCATACTGATTCACTCCTATTTTACCATGCACTTCTAAGTACTCTGCAAACTCTCCCTAAATAATGGACTCTAAAATATTACTGATGACTGAGGTCAGGCTAACCTGCCCATAGTTTCCTGACTTCAGCTTCCCTCCCTTCTTAAACAGGGGTGTTGTATTAGCCATTTTCCAGTCCTTTGGCACCCTTACTGACTCCAGTAATTCCTGAAAATTCAGGTCCATAATCTCTTCAGCTCTCTCCTTCAGAACCCTGGGATGTAGCCGACTAGACTGAGTGATTATACAACTTCAAACCTTTCAGCTTATTTTCCAGCAGTCCAAAGTCTACTCCTGCCTCTCTCTAGATATCTAAAAAAAACCCTTACAATCTTCTTTTCCTTGCTAGCTAGCTTACTGTCATATGTCCTGTTCTTCCCCCTTACTGCCTCTTAGTTGTCCTCTGCTGGTTTTTAAAGACTTTCCAACCCTCTGGCTTCTCACTAATCTTCACCACATGGTCTGCTTTTCCTTTTGCTTTTATGATGCCACTGACTTCCTTTGTCAGCCATGGTTGCCTCCTCCTCCCCTCAGTATGCTTCTTCTTCTGTTGGATGAATTTCTGCTATCCCTCCTGAATTACCCACAGAAATCCTGCAATTGCTGTTCTACATCTTCCCCACTAGGCTCCTCTTCCAATCTAATCTAGCCAGCTCCTTCCTAATCTTTATAGTTACCTAGACTCGATTGTACTACTGTTACATCTAAATCAATGTTCTGCATCTCAAATTGCAGGGTGATTCTACCATATTCTGTTCCCTAGTGGGATCTATCACAGGCTGCTCCAAAAAATGATCTCGTAAACATTCCTTGAATTCTTTTTCTTGAGATTCAGTACTAATCTTATTTTTCCAGTCCACCAGCATATTGAAGTCCTCCATGATTATTATAATAGTGCCTTTCTTACATATCTTTTTTTCTATCTCCTGATTTATTTTCTTCCCCAACTACTTCTAGGAAGCCTGTATATAACTCCCACCAGGGTCTTTTCTGCCTTTGCTGTTTCTCAGCTCTATCCATACGGACTCTATGTCTTCCAACTTTTGCTATTGATTTAATTTCATTTCTTACTGACAAGACAACTCTGCCTCCTCTGCCAACTGTACTCCTATGGCTCATGTAGTCTTGAATATTTAGCTCCCAGCCCTGATCCCCTTGCAGCCACGTCTCTGCCACCCTCAAAACATCGTACCTCCCAATTTCAATCTTATCCGCAAGCTCATTTACCTTGTTTCATGTATAGCATGCATTTAAGCGCATGTGACAAACAGACAATGGCAAGAATTTGTCTGCAGCTGTCCTCACAGTTGCTAATTTTATCCTTTTGGTAACCACTATCTCTGAATTTCACGGCATTCCGACATTCAAATCTTGCCCTCACCTCCTCTGAGTAGACAAGCTGCAGATACATGGATGTCACATATATTTCTGGCTAAATTCCACAACCTTCTAAGAAAGGTCCTGCTAATTGCCCCAATAAAAAATATTAATTGATGCCCCTTTTCTTCTGATGCACTGGGGAAATCTTCAATTCTCTGTCATCCATATGTCCACAGATATTTTAATTTAAGAGGTTGTATCTTCGTTTTTGCCCAGCTCCCAATTCTCTATCAGTCAGTTATGTGAGAAGGCTTCAGTATAAGACTAGAAGCTGGGTCAGCACAACACCCAGTTAAACAGAGAAAAAATGTTTGTTGTTGGTTGGAGACTACTTTGTAAGCAGCTGATGTTAATACCTCCAATGTCTGCATGAAATCCATAATTAATGAGGAAGCAGAAAAGTACCTTTCAGCATTTTTACAGCCACTGTTTTACAGGTTGAAGACTTATCAATCCCAAAAGCAGATGCCTCCACCACTTTTCCAAATGCACCAAGTCCCAGTGTTTTGCCTGTGCAAAGAGAAACAGGTTCAGTTCACAATAGATTTATCTTTAGATCAACCTGCACACTTGTATCAACAGAAAAATATAATTCAATGCAAAAGATCTGGAAATATGAAAAATGAAGTAAACTGTTCTAAGGTTGATTAGAAGTAATAAAGGTTCATTAATTAGTTGATCTGAACAATAAAGTATACATGCTTCATTAGTTCCATCCCAATAAGTTAGAGAAGGAAATGCTGTGATAAGCCCAGAAGTCGATGCTACCACAAAAACAAACCTTGCTCTGGTGAATGATTTAAAGTAGTAAACTGAGATTGAAATTTAATTGTCAAAACAAAGAGATGTTTGGTCCCAAGAATATTTCCTTCCTTAAATTATATTATTACATCTTTCCAAACATCCTATCTATAAGTGTGTTGTACTTACCAAGCCTGAGTCTGTCCCTGGGAAACTCCCATTTACTGCTATCATATGCTAGATGTTCACACTGCTCATCCAGAGGCACTTCATCTGGATCCATTATGATGGACAGATATCCAGATTTAACATCCCCAGAACTTGGCTGCAAAGATATTATGAACTGTTGTCAATTTGCATGCCTGCCACTCATTTTCCTGTTTCTGTTAAAATAGCTCTTCCTGTGTTTAGTGAGTAAAGACTCCACCTGGTGCGTTAATGAACAGTTCAGTTTCTGAAAATGCCAGGTTTGACCTCTGATCTGTGCTGAGTTAAAGTTAAGCCAGGTTAGTGGCTACAACTACAGTCTTGGCATACCTGCACGACAAAAAGTTAGCCTGGAGTTGCTGTCATGAATGAATGAATCCCATTGGATGTCTGATTACGAACGAGTGGTGAATAGGCTGTCACCATCAGCAGAAACAGACTTTCTCTGATTTTGTAAACGGACTGAAGTGGGTAGTGGTAGAAATAGGAAATGGCCTTTCAAATTTCTGCTGGTAGTACAGGATGGTGTGAAATTTCCATTCATTTTATGGGTTAGTATGCTTTAGTAGTACTTACATAGCAGAAATATGTCATCTGTTGGGTTTTCCATGATCTATGCTCCAACAAAACTAAACTTCAAAATTCTTTTTAATGTAAGAGTTGAGAGACGGGAAGATGTTGTTTAAACACATAAGGAACCCTCCCGTCTCACCCTCATCATCAATTATCACGTGAGATTTCTAAAATAATACTTTTCAAATTTCAAGTTATTTTCTCATGTCATTAAAAGGGATGGTGCAATGTTATGCTATGGTTGACTTACCACAGTCAATCACCTGCTCTTTGGACCATGTGGTGTTATGCTAGAGATCAACGGGCGTACCAAAAATATTTCACTGACTGATCCTAGAAAACCTGATACATCGGGGCATATCTTATGCTGGTTTAAAGATTAGATGTGTTAGAAGTGAACCCTGTTCCAGCAACAAAAAAAAAACACACAGCATTATTTAGGGTTAGGTGAGTGAGCATTTGGAATGCAGTACTCGAGGGAACCCAGCCACTATAGAAAAGAATAAGAGATAGTAGGAACTGCAGATGCTGGAGAACCTGAGATAACAAGGTGTAGAGCTGGATGAACACAGCAGGAAAAGCAGCATCATAGGAGCAGGAAGGCTGACATTTCAGGCCTAGACCCTTCATCATCTGTCGGCCTTCCTGCTCCTATGATGCTGCTTGACCTGCTGTGTTCATCCAGCTCTGCACCTTGTTATCATAGAAAAGAATAACCTGATTTTTATAGTGTCTGTCACAACATCAGGACATTTGAAAGTGTTTTATAGTCGAATAAGCATCTCTGAAATGTAGTCATTGCTATAAAATTGGAAAGAGGGCAAATGATTTGTGCAGTTAGCCATGATCAACAACTAAAATAATTATTAGAAGAAAACTCATTCTTAGTGCTGATTGAATGATAGGTGTTGGCTAGGATACCGAGGAGGAGGGTCCACTTTTCTTCCTTAAATAGTTTCACAGGATTTTACATGGGGAAGACCTTCAATGTGTCAACCAAAAGATGGCTCCTCCAAAAGTGGAGTATGAGCCCAGATTACATTCTCTCACTTCTCCACAATGACTTGAACACAAGACATTCTGAGTCAGATGTGAGTGTTATAAGTAAATTTCCAGATGCATGGAGACAAGTGCCACACTTAAGAAATAAAGGGAGAAAATAGAACAAACAGATAAGAATCTTTCTATTTTACTAATTACAATATATAGAATACTGAGTCCAAGCTTGTACATCATTAACAAATTAATAGTGTAAGTATTGACCTTGGGACAGTTTCACATGTTGCTTTCTGGAAATTGATCAGAGATGGATGATTTAGTCATGCAGTTGCACCTCCAACCATTCTTTGTACGTTTTCCTCATCTGACATTTTGATCTTTTGTTTCGTGGTGCAAAATAAATGTGGCAACTAGAAAGATTATTTATAACCTTACCTTCTTGAGTTTACGTATGAAAAGTGTGAGCAAAAGCCAGAAGAGTGTTGCTGCTACCCCAGTACAGACCAAAATGATCAGTTCCAAGTTGGATTTTTCCTCAGACCCTGAAAAAAAGCATTAAATTACATGAAAAGTTGCCATTGTACATGGATTACGTTTTAATATAGCCCAGAATTAATTTATTAATGGTGACAGACACAGTTTGTTCTGAATCTACTGTCATATGAGCCGTAAAATGAGGCATTGAATGGTCTTTAACCTGAATAAATGATAACTTCTGCTCTTTGAATGTATGTATGTGTTGTAAGAGAAGCTTTAACTATTAAATGTAACTATTAAATCTTCCTAATTATTTAAATTTTCCATCGCAGTAGCATGCTCGAGGTGCAGCATTTCCATGACACCTAAAGACACTTTTTAAAAGAATAGAAACAGAATACATATGTGTGCAAATTCTAGGAAGATGCATAGCACAAAATATATGCGTCATTTGTTTCATGACTGAATACATCAAATTCTTTATTTATTTATGAGATTCTGAAAATGTTTTACTTTTAGACTGGTGTCAATTTTTGAGGTTTAGGCCAAATTTAAACGAAGTTCAGTAAAAGTGGCTTTAGCTATATTGTAGGAAAACTATTGTGATACTAGAGTGTAGTTAGCACTCTTTGCAAAAATGTTGGATAAGTATGCTTGAGTGTACATGTGTGTGTTTGTGTGTATTTGAGCATTATTCCCCCTTTCCACCATTTAAATTATGTGAACCTAGTGAGAGAAGAACATTTCACTGCCATGGTCTACAACCCACATTTTGCTCAAACAGTGAAAGAACATTCTTGCAGATCCATACCTAGGACTGCTACATATGCTGAGGTTTCAACACTTCCCTGCTCATTGGTGGCCTTGCATTTGTATTCGCCTTCATCATCATATCTGACTCTTTCAATGATTAAAGTTTTGTTTCCTGATTCCAAAAAAATGCCTGGGTTTAGAAAAGAAATCACATTGTTGATATAAAGATAAAAACAGAAAGAACTGTGCATGTTGTAAATCAGGAACAAAAACAGAAGTTGCTGGAAAAGCTGAGCAGGTCTGGCAGCATCTGTGAAGAAAAATCAGAGTTAATGTTTCAGGCCCGGTGACTCTTTCCCAGAACTTCTGTTTTTGCTAGTATTTAAAGATGTCTTGCTACTGTAGGTCTTTGTAAGTGGTAAGTAAACAGTCACAAATAAAATCTTCATTCTTGTTTCAAGTTATGGTACTTGTTTCCATAGTTTTATTTGTATCATGAAAAGCTATGTCAGAATCATAGAATAATTTTAAACTCTAAACAAATAACGATCTTTTTCTGCAGGTATTCTAGGTTTACATTGAAATATTATTACTATTCATTTATATTACCATGTCTAAATTTCGCAAAAGGCTTTCTTTTAATTTCTCAATAGACATGAGGCTGGAAATTACAGATAATCGGTCTCACGACTTCTTCTTGTGGGGATACGCTTTCCAATGCCTTTCTCAAATGGCTATTGCTTATATTGCTGACCTTGGCAATGAGTATGAGACTATGAGGAAACATTGCAACCAAATCTAATCCTATTGCCACCTGATATTAGCTCACAAGGAAAGTATCTTCTTATGACATTCTCTTGTCTACTAGGTTAATAGAGAAACACGAATTGATTTATTTTAACCAGGTTAATGCTGCCATAATTCACAACCTTGGTGCTCTATTGAACCATTGGTTAAGTATCAATGCCATATTCTTTCCATTACAAAGACATCCTCCAATTGAAATTAGATTTTCATCCTTGTGTTTAATTTTCTCTGTAACCTTGCCTACTCCCCAGTCCGTAAGCCCATCCAACGCTGCAACCCATGCAAAACCTGTTCTTCTGACTCCAGCCTCTTCCTCCTCTTGCTCCATCATTAGCACATATGCTTTTGGTTGTTTAGATTGTGCTCTCTAGGATTGCCTTTTTAGCCTGCCCTGTCTCTAAACTAGCTCTCTTCCTTTAAGAATCCGCTTTAAAAACCCCTCATTTTCATCATCTTTCTTTATGTCTCATAAAGCTTGAAATCACTATTATTAACTTACACCTCTGTGTCTTGGGACATTTTTAAAAATTTAAGTATAATTATAGATGCAGGAAGACCAAATGAATGCTTTGTACTGTATGCTTGTATTAATATTTTGTAGACTGTGGTCAGTAATGTTTTATTCAAGTGCCAATGTATACTTGCAGCCCAGGACTGTCATAGATCAGTCTTATTTCCTTAATTCATAACTAATTTCTACTAAATTTCTGTCTTTGCCTATTTTTCTGAAAACCGTTTGTCCTTGTTGGTTACATTTTTCAATGCCTGCCTCAAATGGTTATTATTTATACGTCTATCATGCAGTGAGTACTGAGTATTATCAACTCTGATCATATTCTCATCTGATGTTTGATTTTCCAATACATGGAGCAACAATTTGTGGAGTCAAAAGAACAGGTTTTGCATGGGTTGTAGCGTTGGATGGGCTTAGGGACTGGGGAGTAGGCAAGGTTACAGAGAAAATTAAACACAAGGATGAAAATCTAATTTCAACAATTAGGAGTGGGAATCTGATATCCTTCATACTCTGCTAACATGGGATTTTTAGGCACAAAGAAAAAAATTTGTCACATGTTTGAGTGACAAGGGGACTAGTGATGCATGTGAAAAAGAAAACATCCAAATGTACAGAAAAATGCCAATTGGCCTCTTAAATATACATTTTACACCATGGAGCAAACATGTTACATCTTGATAAAAGTGTCAGTATTTAATATTCTGGAAAGGCAATTAAATAACCTTGACTAAATATACATGCGTCTGATATTATTTTAATGCAATGTTTAAAAAAAAGCTTACTATTTATTTTCTGTCATAATTTATTGTACTTTTGAAACTGTATAACATTTTCATAACATCTTATTAAGGTGCTACATAAAAGGAAATTATTTAAGGGAAAACATGTATAGAGTTGAGGTGGGTGTGAAAACCAAACTGTCTGACTGCAATTCAAATGTTTTCATACTCTTCATTAATGGTGTCTTAAAAGAATCATTGAAAATTTCTAGGTTAGGACAGAATCCCAGCATAAATCAAAAAAAAATTGGTATTCTTCCACAGTTTCCCTATCAGCAAACCTCCTTCCCTTGTCCATTTTTTTCTCTCCACTTCTCCTGAGTGCACTGACTTAGGCAAGAGGCAGTTCCATGGCTACAGCTATTCTTTGTGTTAGAGGCTATACATTGGGCATCATGTAATCTAAGCAATTTAAATATAGAAGACGTCATAGCTCAGCCTATTTCTAGTTCTGAGCTGACCACCATCATCTACACTACCCAGCTTTCAAGCATAGGTACCCTGACTAATTTTTCCTTCCTCCAACCCTGAACTGTTGAGGCAACGTATTGCATCTGTCCTCAAACTCTGGCTGAAATCAGGTACCTTGGTAGAGACTGGGGAAATAATCAGAGGCCTTCCTCATTGTTATGCAACAATACAACATAAGTGTTTGGCTTGCGAGGGGAGATGATTGCCTCATAGTATTGTTCCGTGACTATTAATCCAGAGATTTATGTAATATTCTGGGGACCTAAGTACAAATCCTACTGGGGCAGATGGTGGAATTTGAATTCAATAAAAATGTAAGAAATTTAAGAAAGGACATTGTCTGGCCTTCAAGTGACTGTACACACAGAGCAACGTGGTTGCTTCTTAATTGCTCTTTAGGCCATTAGGGTGGACAATAAATGCTGGCCCAGCCAGCAAAACTCACATCCCATGAATGAATTAAACAAAACAGAAGCTAATTGTATCTGTTTTCAGGCAACCACAGCTCATTCTGGTTTATACACTGCACTCCATATTTTATGGTTGCCCATAAACCAGATTTATTTATAAGGTACATGCTGGAAGACATAAAAATTGGCACAAAGATACAATTTATGGACTTGACACAATTTATCTTGAGAGTAAGATATATTTCCTTTGTTCGAGACTCAGTAAACATCTTTGCAATGCTGCTACTCATAGTAACGGCATTGATTCACTCCTAGATGTTATTGTACAGAGGACATGTAAATAGAAATTACTGGTAGAAATTTAAACTAAAGTGAAGAAAATACAACAAGGTGGAAATGAATAAAAATTGATTGACAGGAATAAATTAATCAAGAGCAAATTGCGGGGAATTATGTGACTTCCTGACTATCTGAATTTTTGTGTACATTGAAATATTGAAATTTAAAAGAATGTGATATTTCATGCTCTGTTATACGTTGAAACTGTATAAAAATACCATGACTAATACTTGTATTTCTTCAGCATCCATCACACCAAAAGATATGAAAGCTTTTTGAGCAACACGAAATACAGTGAATATTGTTACATAGACAGATGGGAATGTTTGTCAAAGTTCAAGGTGAATGTGACATTGGAATATAAACCATCACCAATAAGGCAACTGTCTGAACTTTAAAGCTTTAAAAAATTTGCCAGGCTCTGTTGTCGATATGTTTCACATCTGAAAGGGCAGTTATCCTCTTGACAACTACTCCAGATGCCTTGAATACCATTTCCAGATGGACAGAAGATAGATGTTTGGAAATAAAAGCGTACACTGTTTAGAGATACACGTGAAACAAGTAAAAATGCACGTAACTTCATCAGCTTTGAAATCGCTTTTTGTTATTTCGGAGTTTTTGTTTGCAATCAAGAAAGGTGAAGCATCAAGGCCCAATGTACGGGAAAATTACCATATTTGAAAAGAGCGAGAAAGACCATTAGGTTTCAGATTAATGAGAATGCAGTCATATTAGCCTTAGCACTTTGTTCGAAGAAAGAAAAAGAGATAGGAAATATCATGTAATGCACCTGAAGCTGGGAGAACCGGTTGCTCATTTTTGAACCAAGTGATGCTCGGAGGAGGCCGTCCACTAACATCGCAAGTCAGGATCACAGTACCACTGCTGTTAACCTCCTGCCCTGTCAGGTTCTTTTGAAGGACTGGGATGGTCTTAGCTGCAATAATAGAGAGAAAAAAAACATTTTCAATTGTCTACTTGACTTTTTTTTTCAGTTCTCTTCTCTTTTCCAGATAGGAGTGATTTCAATATGATTTCCTAGACTGGTTTTGATCACTGGAGGAGATGAAAGCAGAGATTTTTTTCTCTGTATTGGATGCATTTTTGTTAATTCTAGGAGATTACTGAAAGCCCAAGCAGGTTCTAAGTTTAAGAATGGAAGACAAAAGGAAAAAGAGGTGGGATGGCAATCTTAAGAAGGAATGACACCAGTAAAGGAGCAAGATGTAGAATTAGTGTGGGTGGAGCTGAGGGGAAACAAACATTGCTGGGAATTGTTTATAGAAAATTAAACTTCAGTACTGATATTGGGTACAGTATAAACTATGCAATTTGAGATGCATTTCATGTGGGTAATATACAATACTGGATGACTAATTTACATGTAGGTTATGTTCACCAAATCAGTACTAATGCTGTAGAGGATGAATTCTTGGACTGTGCTTGGGATGTGATTCTGGTACGGTGTTAAGGAGCCAACAAGGGATCAGGCTATTTTGGGTTTTGTGGTATGTAATGGGAAAAGGCTAAATAAAAACTTTGCTGTAAAGGAGCCTTTGGGAAATAGTGACCATAATGTGATTAAAATTTTATGTGAAACGTGATGAAGCTAGGATCTTAAATCCAGGCAACTGAAGCTATGAGGCAATTAGAGGCATGTTGACTAGAGTGGATTGGGAAAATACACAAAAAGATTTGATGGTAGACAGGTATTGGCTAGTATGTGAAGAAACACATAAATATACGTTCCTCTAAGGTACGAACACCTAAAGCGAAATGTGAAAGATTGCATTAGATCAAAAGAAGGATCTAACAAGAATGTCAGAAAAAGTGGGAAGGCTGACAATTGGGAGCAAATTATGACCCTTCAAAGAGGGGCCAGGAAGCTGACAAGGAAAAGGGAAAGCAGAATACAAATACATGCTAGACAGAGGCATAAAGGGAGACTGTAAAAGCTTCTATTGACAGATGATAGGAAAGATATTAGAAAGGATAAGCATGCACCTATTGCTGGTGGGGGCAAGAGAATTTATAGTGGAGAATTGGGAAATGGCGGAGATACGGAATAATTACTTTGTGCCTGGCTCCATGGAAGTACAGAAAATCTTTCTGAAATACTAGGCAATCAAAGGTAATTAAAGAGCTAAAAGAAATTAGTTTTAATAAAGGAGTAGTAGTTAAAAAATTCACTGGATTGAAGGTTGCTATACCTCCTGGACCAGATGAACTGCATACCTAATTGTTGAAGGAATTAGTAGTAGAGATATTGGATGCATTGTTGGTTATCTTTCACAATTCTACAGATTCTGGAAATGTTCCTGCTGACTGGAAAGTCAAAAATATAAGTTCACTATTTGAGAAGGGACAATGGAGAACTACAAATCTGCTAGCTTGACCTCTGTACGAGGGAGATGTTAGAATCTATTTACCAGTCATAACTGGTAAAATCAGGTAGAGTTAAATAGTATTTCTGAAAAGGAAATCATATTTGACAAACTTGTTGGAGATTTTCGAGTCTGTTATTTGTAGCATGGACAAAGAAGAACCAGAAGATGTGGAGTATTTGGATATTCAGAAAGGCTTTTGACACAGGAAGGTAATTTCGAGGGCACGGTACTGGGGAGAATATACTAATACAGGTTGTTTGATAGGTAGAAAAAACAGAGAGTGGCAATAATATATCATTCCCAGGAAGGAAAACTATTAGTAGTGTGGTATCACAAGGGTTAGTGCTAAGTCCAGGAAAGAGCTGGTAAGAAAAGAATGGACTGAAGGCTGGGTCCTGTCAACTATTCTATCGGATAGCTGGGGCAGGTTGTTACAACAATTGGACAGCATTATAGTTAGTTCTTAATCATACCAGCTTTAATTCAACCAAATTAAATTTTTTAAGCTTTATATTGTAAAATTTTGACCGACCTTATTAGTTGCACAGTTCTGCATTGCAACCTGACAAACACTGCACTACACTATCCTCAATCTGTGCTGCAATAATTACTAATGGCAAATTACTAATGGCTTTACAAATATTCAATTCAAAATTTTATTTTAATTTAATTTCAATTTAAAATATTAATATCAACTGTGGTCCTTCTGAATGGCGCAGTAGACTCGAGGGACCGAATAGCCCACTCCTGTTCTCATTTCTTTTGATCTTATGGTGTGAAGCTGAAGTGTAATAAAGATGGCCAACAAAGGGCCATTTAATATTTTGATACAAGAGTGCATTCTCCAGTTATGCTTTTGCATTTATGTGGTAAAGGATACTACAGTTTGACTACTCTCTGAAAGAAGGAATTCCTCCATATCTCTGTCATATATAAGTGACTGCTTTCCTCCTAGACTCTCAAGTCCCCTGAGAATCTTATATGTTAAAATAAGGTTTTCTCTCATTCTTCTAAACTCTGTTGAACACGGGCCCATCTCTCAACCTCTTCTCAATGGAACAATCCTGTTAAGGAGCTATAAAAAAATTCTCTATTCCTTATCCAGAGGAACTTGTGTAAATGATGGGTTCTTGACCTTTGGCTCTGTGGAAATCAGTTAACTCAAGACAGACCTGGGATCAGTCAGGTAAATGTCTTGAATGGTACAGTACAGACATTAAAATGATATAATAAGCAGCTAAGCTGATGGGTCAGAGTTAAAATGTTCGTAATTGGAACATCTAAATAGCTAAAATTGTAAAGAGATTTGGTGAGACTCACGTTTAATGTAGACCATGGTGTGCTTCTCGTACTGCTCTTTGGAAGCGTTGTTCATTGTTTTGCATTTGTAAATTCCGGTGTTGTTTTCGGTCAAATTTCTCATACTAAGAAATAATGTTTTGGAGTAGTTTCCATAAACTTTCTGAGTGTATTCGTTCAGATTAATGTCCGATGAATTCAATGAGGACTGGTAATACCATGCAGGTTCATGCATTAAGAAATTTCTCACGAGACAGGTGAGATTTAGGTCGTCTCCCTCAGTTCGAGATTCATTGGCATTTGCTTTGAGGTACAAGTGATCTGGCTGATCTAATCGAAAACAGACAAAGACAGTGAACGAAACTGACACATTGAATCCTGTAGGCATTTCTGTAAAATATTTTCAGTGATTCTTAACAAGGGAGAGAATTTTTCAGCAACACAGTGTGGGGAACAGACTAAAACAGCAGATTTGACTTTGTTGCCAATTGATAAACTATCACAAGTTTAAGTGCGGTATTTCAATTCTTTGTCTTCCAAAGAATTATCAGTAGCAATGACAGAGACAATGTTACGTCACTAGCAACCCTCCAGTAATACAAGCATGCCAACTTTATTAAACAAAAGTTGAGGATCAACTTGTCAATACTTCCAACATATGACAATGGCAGGTAGTAAGGCTGAAAGAGATTTTTGGTCAGCCACATAATGGAAAGGATTTGGAACCTCTACCATCACTGCCCATAGTTCTGGACTACAACATGCATGTAAAAGAGGATGTTGCCATGGCAACTCAGATTTCATGGGGAATTGGGATGGGGTCATTTGGCTGCTGTGAATCAGATTGTCGTCAACAGGTATTCGGTCACCATTCTCTCTGGATTTGGGATCTGCCTCCTTGCCCTACCCATGGTGGAGGTCATGGTACTGAGGGTTTGACCTACCTTCTGGCAAAGAACTCCAGTAGAACTCAACTCTGCTTTGATCCTCTTTTGCTAATTTAATAAATTAGAGTTTTATAGTACAAATGTTGAGTTTGTTGCGACAAAACAGCACAGTACCACAAGTTAAATTTGAGTATCATTAACTCCGAGCATGAACTGGATGGGCAACAATGTTAAGATGGGGGTGGGTGGGTAAAATAGTGGCAGGGTGGTAATGTCAGTGGATGAATATTTCAGAGGACCAGGCCAAAACTTTGGGGACATGAGTTCAAATTCCACCATGGCTTTTGATGGAGTTTAAATTCAAATAATGAAACCTGGAATTGTAAGCTAGTTTCAGTTACACCAACCATAAAGCTTTCACCAATTGTTTTAAAAAATTATTTGGCTCATTACTAATGGATGCTGTTGATGGGCGTGTCCCTTCCTTGACCGTCCCTCCAGAGGTCTGAGTAGGGTCACTTTCTGGGCATACTCCCAGCCTGAAAATTTAGGCTGGGTAAGAAACACTCATGAGTGGTCCTTAATTGCCCTCTTAAGGGCTTTAATTAAGGAAAAACAGGTGGGCTAGCGTAGGCTGCTCCACTCCAACCATAAAATTGTAGAGAGGTGTGGGAAGATGGGAATGTAGTCTGATCATCATTCGAGGAATCCTATAAGCCCCTCCCTCCGCCCAAGCACCCAGCTGTAAACCTGTAAATGGGGTTTTATTGCTGGCAGGACAGAATGGACAGGTTTTTATTCTTTATGTAACCATGACAAAACAAATAAGTACTGCTTTTTTATCAGGGGAAGAAACTGACCTTAGCTCTGAGTTTCTTTACTGTTGTTATCAACTGAAAATAAATGTATGGAGATAATAGCAGAGAATCCAGTAACTGTGCCAATATGCACTTTTATGCGCACACTATAGTTTGGAGCTATGAAGTCTGATTTTAGAGTCCCTACAGTGTGGAAGCAGGCCATTCGGTCCATCGAGTCAACACTGACCCTCCGAGGACCATCCCAGCCAGACCCACCCGCTACATTTCCCACCCTAGACACTATGGGCAATTTAGCATGGCCAATTCAACTAACCTGCACATCTTTGGACTGTGGGAAGAAACCACAGCACCTGAAGAAAACCCACGCAGACATGGGGAGAATGTGGAAACTCCATACAGACAGTTGCCTGAGGCTGGAATCGAACCCGGGTCCCTAGCACTGTGAGGCTGCAGTGCTAACCACTGACCCACCGTGCTGCCCCATGATGTGATGATAAAAGTTCCAACATTTTTCCGTCACAAGGAATTTCTCTTGTTCTTACTACTTGCTATTGTCTTATATTGTAATAAACTTGCTTGGCTGCATTACCAATGCACCTTCCTTGGCCATCAAATCATAGAATCCCTACAGTACAGAAAGAGGCTATTTAGCCCATCAAGTCCGTACCGATCCTTCAGAGAGCATTCTGCCCAAGTGAAGCTGCCTGTCCTATCCCATTATTCAGGCATTTAGTATTGACTTAGTCTGCACATCTTTGGGCTGTGGGAGGAAACAGAGCACCCGGCAGAAATCCACACAGAAGTGTGGAGAACATGCAAACTCTACATAAACAGTCACCAAAGGCTGTAATTGAACCTGAGTCCCTGGCACTGTAAAGCAGCAGAGTTAACCACTGAGCCACCGTGCTCTCCAGTAAGTGCTGAATGAGACTCAAACCCATAGCTTCTTGCTTAGAAGCAGGAGGCAAGGAACTATCCACTGTCGCAAGAATTCGTAAAGCAAATGCACCACCAGAAAATGTAAACATTGTTGTGGAAAAATCAAATTATTGTTTGATTTGCACTTACCGAGAAACACAGGGCTTAGAAGTAGGAGAAGACCATTCAGTCCTTCAAACCTGCTTAGTCAGTCTATAATGTCATGGCTGATCTGGTTGTGTCTGAACTCCACTTGCCTGTCTTCCCTTCATACATTTGACTTGTCTGTCCAAAATCTATCTAACTCAGCCTTGAATAAATGCATTTGGAAAGAGTACTCCACAGGCGAATAATTCTCTGAAAGATCTTTTTCTTCTAATCTCCATCTTAAAAGGATCTCCATCTTATTCTCAAACTGGGTCCCCTAATTCTAGTCTCTGCCAAAAATAGCAAACATCCTCCTGTTGTCCACCTTACCAAGTTACCTCAGTTTCTTGTATGAATCAATAAGATCACTCTTCATCCTTCTAAACTCCAATGCGTATAGGGTCAACTTCTCCCCAGAAATAAATCCAGTGAAAATTCCCTGAGCTGCTTCTGATAAAATTAAATTAAATTTCAAATGAGGAGACCAAAATTCCAGATGTATTCTTACCAAGGCCCTATTCAACTGTAATAAAGTTTCCCTCCTTTGAAATTTCACTCCTATGCAATAAATGCGAACATTCCATTCACCTTCCTAATCACTTTCTACATACAGAGGGAATGAGGCAAAAAGGTGTTGGAAATTAATCAGCTTTAGTACAGCGGTAGTATCCCTATCTCTGCACCAGGAGTCCTGTGTTCAATCACCACTTGCTGCAGAGGTGTATCATAGCATCTCTGAACAGGTTGTTCAGAAATTGTCTACTAAAATTAAAGTATGTTGCTTGTGGTGCCATGATAGAGTTCCTATTCTGATCTTCCCATAGTTATTCGAGCACAGCAGTATTCATTATAGTTTTAGTGGGAAGAATGACAAATGGCAAATGAAAACTATAATGAATCTTGCTGAACTTGAATGACGAGTGTCATTTCTTCTGATGAAAGTGCGCTCGTCTTGAAATGTTAACTCTGTTTTTCTCCCTATAGATGCTGTCAGACCTGCTTTATTTCTCCAGCACTCTGTTTTTATTTTAAATGACAAAGTTTGTCCATTAGCTTGGGAATAGGAAGCAAAATAAGTGGAAGAGTTAAAAGCACCTTAGGTGTCGGGACACTTGCACTGGGAGAAACAACAGACATATCTATGTATTTATCAAGGATTTTAAAGGCTCTCCAAAATAATGGGCAATCAGGAAAAAAAAAATTTGTTCATTCTGCAAAAATGTCGACTTGATGAAGAATGTCGCAGAAAAGAGATTGAGGATGGATCTGGTGAGTATAGAAGAGATGTTGGAAAGAAATGAGATTTCAAATATTGAATGGGTCAATACAACTTGTCAGCTATTAAATTATCTTCCAGAAAGAAATGCTTTTCCAAAAATAATTGTTGGATGTCTTTGAAGAGGCATGCCTTGTGTTATGGATGATGAAAACAAAGAAATACTCACTTTGTAATCTTATTGATTTTTACTGTTTTCAAGATGGGGGTGCAATATACAGATTAATAAAGCTTGTATTAATATTAGTGTCCCTGCCTCTGGACTGTAAGGTCTAGGTTCAATTCCCACCTGTTCCAGGTGTGTGTCTTGGCATATCTGAACAGATTGATTTAAAAAACAAATGACTTGGTCCTCAACAGGTCAACCTCTTAATCTTCACTTTCACTGCTATTGGGATTTGGACTCTATCTGAAATGCTATAAAAAGAATACAAGGTCTTGCGGTGCAATGGCGCTGCCCGTACCCCAGGGCCAGAAGGTTTGGGTTTAAGTCTTACCTGCCCTGAACAAGTGGATTAAAAATAACTAAGGCTCTTGTGGTGCACTGGTATTATCCCTGTCTCAAATCTCTCCTGCTCATAGGTGTATTATAACTTGTCTGAACATTGTGATTAAAACAGAAATCCAAAAAATTATACAAAGAAGAGTCACCAGGAGGAGGGAGAGAGTGTATTTGAATGGTGAAGTAAGCTCTGTGTGAAGCAATAAAGGTATTTTGGTCTCTTTATGTTTTCACAAATAGGCTCAAGGATTCACCTGCATACTAACATTTTGTCATTCATGTACCAGGACACCCAAATTAATGTGTACAATCTGCCTCCATTTAAACACTGTTTCTCTTGCTAATGTGAATAAGTTTATATTTTCCCACATTTTACTCCATCTGCAAATTTTTTTGCTCAGTCATTTAACTCTGTATCCCTTTGCGGACTGCTTACCTCCTCCTGACAATTTACTTTTCTTCTTGCCTTGGTGTCATTGCAAATTCAACTTCTATACATTTAGTACCTTCAATTCAAGTCATAGAATGTGAATAGTTGAGTCCCCAGCACTGATGTTGTAGTTACACCTTGGCAAATTGGAAAAAAGGCCTTTTAGGCTACTCACTTCTGCTTGTTAGCTAACCAAATATACCCATGTTTATATATTATCTACTTCACCATATTCTTTCATGGTTTCCTGCTTTTTGTCTGGCTCTTTTGTTGAACATAGATATGACATTCGCTGCTTTCCTCAGCTATAATATTTGGGGCAATGTTCCTTGTGATTTACTGCTCAAAAATAGAACTTAAGGATGTATCTTCATATGCATGTACTTAATTTGGAAAATATTACTTATGCTCTTTGTGACATGCTTTTGGACTGTGTTTATATTTATATTACAACCTGGAAGCTCGAAGATTGTGCTTGACAAATAGGCTTCCATCTAATTTGTTTCTGATTACGTTTCTTCAAATCTAGCTTACTGTTTTACATGGAAATAAGCATGGATAGGGTAAATAGACACCTCGGGGTGAGGGAGTCCAAAACTAGAGGGCACAGATTTAAGGTGAGAGGGGAAAGATTCAGAAGGGACCTAACGGGCAACTTTTTCACGCAGAGGGTGGTGCGTGTATGAAATGAGCTGCCAGAGGAAGTGGTGGAGGCTGGTACAATTGCAACATTTAAAAGGCATCTGGATGGATATATGAATAGGAAGGGTTTAAAGGAATATAGGCCAAATGTTGGCAAATGGGACTTGATTTATTGAGGATGTCTGGTCAGCGTGGACGAGTTGGACCGAAGGGTCTGTTTCCATGCAGTACATCTCCATGACTCTATGACTCTATGACTCTAATAGAAAAAGAAAAGCTCAATGAAAATAAATCTTCGTATGTTATTTTTCTTTGCCAATGTTCAATCTTTTAGTTGTGACTTTTTTGAGGCTATGGTTCTAAAGATGTTACTAAACATCCAGACTGAGCAATGATTGGCTACTTCATTGTGCTGACAGTAATGCCTAATCCCATTTGGCTGTTATTTTCCAAAGTTGGTTCCTGGATTATGATAGGTTGCAGGACCTTTGACTCCCATTTTTCTCCTTCACCATCTCATGATTGTGAGGGGGCTATCTGCTTTGGATTTGTTATGCACAAGAAGCACATTAGCATTAATTTGGTTGTGTTTTCCTGTTCAGATCTGATCAGGATCTCTTGGAAAAATACTGTAATTCCTCATAATAAAGAGGAATAAAGTTAGAATTAGCAACTGAAAGTAGAATTTCTTAACTACAATGCCAACTACTATCTTGCTTTGCAAGTAACATTTTTGAACCGTGTCCAACAGGATAACAATGGTACACATCAGCAGAGAAGTCAATCTCTTTAAGCCTGTGAAGGGCTGTGTCATAGAATTGTGTAATAGGAAATCCCACAACTCTGAAGACAATTTGATTCAATTGAAAATACCACTTTGAATGTTGTTTAAGTAACATGAACAATACATAATCTTTATATGGTGGCAGGCATAGGCGTGCTCAGGATGTGTGAGAATGGGAAGGGCACCCACCAAACTAAAACTTACTCCCATCAACCAGGGCAATCAGGTTTAAATTCCTGTTTTTATAGTGCAGAAAGTACAATGTGTATAAATGAGCTTTAAATGTATATTAGTCTCTGTACCTAAACCGGAATAGTTGGAATACGATTGAAAGATGGTCAAAAAACTTTTAAATCAGAGAATTTGCCTCCAACCTGCTTCTGATATGCCTCTGCTATTTTTATATTGGCAGGCTGCATGCTTCATTGGAAAAATAGGACACTTCACTATGTTTAAATGGTGCAGATGGCAACTTCATTTATATTTATCAGCTGCTGGCTATTCTTACCAAGACCTGGGAAACCCTGCAGAGAGAGACATGCAGGTAAATGCTTTTTGGAGCAGTCCTTGTGGGCCAGGTGGAGCAGTAATGCTCCCCCATTCTATCGCACCTCTGACCCCTTCAGCATTCCCTCTGATAATCATGATTATCCTTGCAAATAGCTCCAAAGCTTTGGAATAAAATTAAACTTTCAAATAATTGTGCCTTATTAGCAGAGTACCCACAAAAGCCTGTTTTGTTACACTTTTACATAAACAACCCCTTCAGTGATCCATTTCTTAGGATACAAGCCAAAACAATTGCTGCTCACGGTCATTGCTGAGGATAATGAAAAAAGTACAACTTGTGACAGCCAATTAGTGTTCAAAAAGCACTCGTGCCCAAAAAAATAAAATATTGGAACAGAAAATTAATACTTCCTATATTTTCTGTTTTGAACAAGAATGAAATCTTTCAAGGAATCATGCTACAAGTAGGTCATCCTCTGACCACCTGGATTATATGTGAGACTGGTAAACATTTGAGTGAAAACATCAGTCACTTTGAAACATGGGGGAGTGCTGGGTGAATATTCTCCAGAGCAGATACTGAAAGGTTGGCTAGGTAAAGCACAGTTGGATCTCTGGAACTGGTTCAGAAACAAAGTTGCTGGAAATGCTCAGCAGGTCTGGCAGCATCTGAGAAGGAAAAAACAGTATTAACGTTTTGGGTCCTGAGGATGCTCTGAGGAAGGGTCACCGGACCTGAAACATTAACTCTGATTTTTTTCTTCACAGATGCTGCCAGACCTGCTGAGCTTTTCCAGCAACTTTGTTTTTGTCCCTGATTTACAGCATCCGCAGTTCTTTCGGTTCTCTGGTACTGGTTGTCTGTATTACTGAGAGGCTTGGGCATTTTATCCACAAAACGAAACATGATCAGTATAAGGTAACAAGATGTATAAAAGTATGATATTCATCAACATTTTGAGAGTAGGAGAACAGGAGCCATGTTAAAATTAGTCAGAGGTAATTACAACACTTGTTCCAAAATTTTACTTAATGCTGAGGATTATGAGCATGAAGAAGAAACTTTATAGGGTAGCAGTAGAGGCAAAAGTCAGGGGTGCCTCGAAGAAATGAATGCTGCCGTGGTAGGGGATTGTAGAATACCTCTAAATAGACAAATTATTTGCTGGTAGGAACTTCCTCATTCATATTTATCTGGAGATCTTGTGAAATGTAGAAAATCTATATGCCCCTTTCCTAGAACACAATGCAGCCAAGAGGCAGACAGATTTAATGACTGACTGTGCTAAGTTAACAAATTTCAAGAATTACTCCCTTACCTGAATGTCTTTTATGTATCCAGAATATTTTCAGGCCCTCAGTTGCTTTCTAAGCTGTTAGATCTTGCTGCTTCTAAGGCCACAATAGGTGCCTGCAGACTATTGGTGCTATTCCAATTTGCCATGAGCCTGTTGCTGGTGATATCCACTGTGGTGGCATCACAAAATAATCGTTTAAGTCTAAACTGAAGGCACGTGTCGCAGTTAATTTGTCATGTGACTTTCGGAAGCAGAGACAAGACAAATTATGGGCCAGGATTTTCATGGAATTGTGGATGCTCTCTGGCAATTTCAAAATGTCTAGCAGGACATAGATATGCAACTCTCATTTCTAACGTTGGTCAGTAGGGGACAGTGGGCAAGGTGTGAATCACACGGGAGGGAAACCAAACTCACCAGGACCATTTAAGCACAGTGTTAAGTTAATACAGGATCCAATTATTTTGTTGCAAGTGTCTTAATCTGCAGCTTGGCACTCACAAAGGATTGTGTAGAAATAAATAATCATGACGAGTGGACAAAGTCCGTTTAATCTCCCAAATCTAATATTTTCAAAACTCTTGCTCTTTGAACTGTAAAACTAAAAGCTGCCAGGGATGTAAAAATAACCCAGTCGAACTATTTTGATTGACAATCCAATTGGTGGAGCGCCTTTTTGTGAAATTTCAATGCAGTTATTTATTGACATATCCCTATTAACTGTGAATGCTTGGCTGATTCTAAAAAGAACAATTATCTCAGCAGAGATAGTAAGAACTGCCGATACTGGAGTCAGAGATAACACAGTGTGGAGCTGAATGAACATAGCAGGCCAGGCAGCATCAGAGGAGTAGGAAAGTTGACGTTTCGGGTCGGGAACCTTCTTCAGAATTTCTGAAGAAGTGTCCCAACCCGAAACATCAACTTCGCTAATTATCTCAGCAGGGTGTTCTAAGTTCACATTAACAGCTTAAAGAAGCTATTAAAAGATGTGTTTTTTGAAGGGAAGTTTGTTTATAAGTGATCGCTATGTGAGGATGTTTTATGCTTTCATGAACAGGAGTTTATTTCACCACTGACTGTGTGTGAATGAGAGCAGCTTAGATTTTTGGACATGTATCTTTTTCGTCCACATAACTCCTGTGGTCTTACCATGGTGGATATTAGGACAGCTAGCATGGGGCCGTAGAAAAGGGCATAGTTGGCATTGATTTGTCATGGAGGGTGTGAGAGTCATGGGATGTGTGTGTTTGTGGGGGAATGAGGGAATGTGAATGGTGTGGTATTGGTGGCCTAAAATCTTATAAAGCTACTGGGCAAATTTGCAGAATATTGAGACAGGCCACTTATCTTGACTCCTCTCCCTTGTGCCTTACTAGCGTCTGCTTCTAGGTTTTGCTTGCCTGACTTCATCCTGCACCATCCCAGAAGCAATAACCGTGTGATTCAGGCCACTTTTTACTACGGCAGATTTGGTGAGTCACAAAATTTCCAACTCAAATTATCTGCCTTGGTAATTGAATCTGGCCCTGTGTCTCAGAAATAACCAGTTCATTTTAAAACTTTTCAATCTAACATTTGTGTATTGCTAGCAGTGCAAGAAAGTCACAACTGATTGATACTGTGATGAAGAGTCACTGGACTCGAAATGTTAACACTGCTTTCTTCCCACAGATGCTGCCAGACCTGCTGAGCTTCTCTAGCAATTTCTGTTTTTGTTTCAGATCTCTAGCATCTGCAGTTCTTTGTTTTATAATGATTTTTTTCCTGCATAAAATATTAACAAGCTGACAAAAGAATTGAATTGAATAAAGTTTTTTTGATTACAGATAATTCCTTACCTGTAATGTAAAAGTTAATTCTTCTGCGGTCTTCACCATAATCATTCGTAGCTATACAGTAGTAAATCCCTGACACCTTGGCTTCAGCCACAGTTAGAGTGCTTATCGTCTAAAACAACAGAAAGAGGTTCCACACATTAGCTGAATATAGTAAATCTGTTCTTTAAAATGTCAATAAAATCGGTGTCATGTCTTATGTTAATGGAAGACAATTGGACTGCATAGATCCTGCAGAGTTGATGCACTGACGTGAGAAATTTTGAAAGTTCAGTGAAAATAGTTGTATTTGCAGTCAGAAAAGCAACCCAGAGAACGCTAGACGTCTAAGAATATTCAAGATTGGATAAGAAGGAAAAGAGAAGCTTTTAACAGGTACAAAGGGAGCAAATCAGAGTCTGAGTGGAGTATGAAAAGTACAGGGGGGAGCTTAAGAAAGCAATTAGGAATGGAAAGGGGGTCATGAAAAAACACTGGCAGGTAAGATTAGGGAGAATCCTAAGATATTCTATAAATACATAAAGGGGAAGAGGATAGCCTAGAAAAGAATAGTGCCTATTAGGGACCAAGACGGTATTCTGCACATGAAGCTGGAGGACATTGACAGGGTATTAAATGAGGGCTTCACATCTGTCTTCATACTGATGAAGAAGGATGCAAGTGCAGAAGTTTATACTGGCCTTGGAAGCAGTTGAAAATAGATTTATGATGCTGATTCCTGGAATGAAAGGATTGATTTATAGAGAATAGCTAAACAGTTTGGGTCTTTGCTCATAAGACTTTAGGAGAATGAGAGGGGTGATTTTATTGAAACAGACAAAATTCTGAAGAGGCTTAACAGGGTGAATTTTGAGAAGGCATTTCCTCTAGTTAGGGAATATCAAACTAGGGGACATAGTTACAAAATAAGAGACTTCATTTAAAAGTGGGGTGTGAAGTAATTTTTTTCTCTCAAAGAGAAGTGAATGTCTGGAATTCTGTACCCCAGACTGTTGTGGAGACTAGATCACTGAATGTAATCAAAGAAGAGATAGATAAATTTTTGCAATATCAAGGAGTTGAAGGTTATGAGGAGCTGGTACAAAAGACGAACTGAACCTGGGCAAATCAGCCAAGATTTTATAGAATGTCAGGGTAGATTTAAGAGTCTGAATGGCCTACTCCTGCTCCTATTTCTTATGTTCTAATGTTCTAAAAATGTAATTATTTCTGGTAACTCACAGTAAATGTTCTGCAGAGTCTACAAAGGTATACAAAGCATGCTTTGATCAGTTTTCTTAAAGTGAGGTGATTGAAAGTCTTTTGCCATCTCTTTTCAACTTTAGTATCAAGAGACAAAGTTCTTTTCACTGGCTTGCACAGGCTGTCTTTTACAACTAATAATTAAATGACTTTCTGCACTGAAGTCGGAAACTAAGTACCATCATGTCTTTGGAAAATAATCGATTTAGTCCATTCACAACTATCAAATAATGTTCTGATATGAACTCTCCTGTTCTTGGACTATAATGAGATCAATATTGCTTCATATCACTGTCATCCTCCAAGGGAAAAAAAGCACTCCAATTGTATTGTATATCAGCATGGCTATTCGATGTTTGCAAAAATTTAACAATAAGGTGCATATTATCATTAAAAGGCACCTGTAAACATGTGTGTGTGTGTGTGTGTGTGTGTGTGTGTTAGAAATGACTGAACAGAAGATGATTAACAGTTTCACAAACAGTCATGAGAAAAGGACAGTGAGATGTAGTAACATTTAAAATATAGCATATACAATTCTGTCCTAAACTCAGTTGCAAGTATACCAAACATTGCTTAACATATATGGTGGAAAGTTGTGGTAAGGATTTCAGGACTCTTTCGTAAACTGTGGGCGATTGGAAATCAGTTATTAAATCCAGTTTCTAAATGGTTTTAAAATTGTTTTATATCCTTGTCTCAGTGTCATAGCTAAATGAATTAATTTTCTTTGAAAACACTTTGGAATTCTACTGTGGGAATTTATGTTCTAACTATGATATCATGAGAAGTTCACCAATGTGGCCTTTCATTCCCGAGAACAGAAGCCGGCCCATCATTGGACTGGAAATGGATATGTATTTCTTCCAAAAAAGTAGATAAAGAAACAATTGCCTTAAAATTAAGCCTGCCCATATCCAGTTGACATATATGGCTGGTTGATACCCAATTTGGGTGAAGGGTGTTAAGCTTGAATTCCTGAGAAAAATGAGTTAGATGCAAAAATGATGCATTCAAAATTTAGGAGGAACAGATAGGAAAGTTCACATTACCATACTGATATTGATGAGACTGTTTGAGGTAGAAAGAATTTGAAGCTTAGAGTTAAGGAAAAGATCATTCTTCTGGTATCTTATTGATAACCCCTCCCAAATTCTATATCAAAATGTTATAGAATGCATAGAGGTAAATCACACAATGCACCTTGCACAGCTGAAATCCACCTGTCTGCTGTTAATAGGGCAGAGCTTCCACTCAGCTAAGCTGGTTCTTCTAACACAATACCCTTGAAATGTGTGGAACTATCACAGAGAAACCACTGAATTTTAAATGTGCATCATGTAGAGTGCACATTGAATTTTTAGGGTCTTTCACACAACACCGTGCTGAAAGCCATCCTCACTAATAAAACTGAGCACAACCCCAAGACGAATGAATCACTATTCAGAGATTCTGCTAATTGCACTGCAGGGCTTTGAGAGACTCAGAACATTTAAGCTGGCTCACCACAGTCTAGTGAAGAAATTCCTTCTCATTTCTGTCCTAAACAGCCTACCCCATATCCTTCGACCGTGTCCCCTGGTTCTGGATTGATGTTGCGATGAAGTATTCACTATTTGGTGATTAAAAACACTTTCAGCTGTATTGATCAAATTGCACCATATTACCTTAACTTTTTAAGCTGTCAAGGATTTTCTTAAAGCAAAACACATGTTTTAAAAATCGAGGTTTTAAAATGTTGCCTGATTATGCTGATTTTGCACTCCGATATGCAAGTATGTTTGAATTGAAAGTTAACAAAATAAAACGTTTCCCAAATGAGTGCAATTGTTTTCCTAAATTTGTCGTTACTTTTCCATCAATGTCCAAAGTAGAAACTATATCCTAGTTTATTTTACACTCTCAACTGCTTTTACAAACAGAACATGTACAATATTGATTGCAGAAGCTGTGAATCAAACAAAAGAGTTGGATCAGTATGTTAGGGCTGGTAGTACATAAATTGGCATTTGAGCGCTCCAGGTTATGGGTTGATGATGAAATTTGATGTATACTTGGTATTGACTAAAAGAAAAAAGATAAATATTGACTCAAATAATATTCTGGAAATGTGCATTTCAATCACACTCTAAAAGAAATTAACATTTTATATAAGATGCCAGAATTGGTGTATATTTCCACAAAAATATTAATCCATCTTTATCTTTAAACCTGCTGTGCAATATGTGATATTAATTTATATAGTACCTCAAAGGACTAAAGAAACTACATAAATGTGACTCACCAACTGTGCAAACCACATGTTTCACATATAAATCTATGTTTCCTTTCTTGTGCTACATAATTAATGGCTTACAAATGTTCCTGGAGCTGTTCAAAATATCCCTGTGACATTTTGAAATAACTAACACAATGGTATCTGTTGAGTCAATTTTTCAGAATTTTTGATTGTACTTGTCTATCTGGAAATGATTTTGGATTGAATTGTGCACTATATTTTAAAGATATGTAAATTGACATGGAGTTCAAAACACTCAAGCTATAAACATTGAAGTTGTTCAGTGGTGTAGTGGTAATGTCACTAATTTGGTAATCCTCAAAGCCCAGGCTAATGATCTGGGGGCATGGGCCTGAATCGACCATGGTAGATGGTGAAATCTGAAATTTAAAAAAAAGTCTAGAATTGGAAGCCAGCTGAAAGGTGACCATGTATTCATTGTCAATTATTCAAATTGTTTAGTTTATTTTAGGTAAGAAAATATGCCATCCTTACATGGTTTAGCCTACACATGACTCGAGACCCACACTCAGCTGCCCTCTGAACTGGTTAGTCCCAATTGGTTGTGTCAAACCATTAAGAACTGTGCAGTGTTCAAGGACTTCAATGATTCACAAACGTGACTCACTACCACATTCTCCAGACCAGTTAGTGATGGCCAATAAATGCTGGCCTAACCAATGATGCCCACATAAGATGAACAAATAAAAGAAAAGCAAGATGAATTACTTAGGAATATCATCTCATACAACTATATTGAGGGTCAATTGCCTTATTTGCAACCCAGTAACAAGATGACCTTTATTCAGGTTAAAACATTAGGAGATGGATTCTTTAAATTCAGAACCTAAGGCGTGAGGAGAGTTAATTGGCATTAGTGACAGACCTGCGAATGAATTGCTGACAAAGGAAGAAATTAGCATTGCAGATCTTCGCCTGGCTAAGATCACAGAGAAGAGAACAAAGGACATATGGACAGTTCTGCTTTAAACATGAGACTGTCAGTTAAACCTGAAAGATATAGCTGGAAGATAAAATGCAAAAGGACAATATTTGTAATAGAAATTGTTAGAAAGAAAGTCATGCCAAAAACAAGAAAGCTGAGTGTACAATTTTAGAGAAAAGTGAAATTGAATTGAGTAGGTGGAATTTGCTTTGACTGGAGGTCTACTTGCTGCCTGAAGTGATCTGAATGCAAAATGTTACAGTCTGCCCACTGAAAAGTTTGTTTCTCAGTTTTAAAGTGATGCTTTCTCTGCTGATAGGCAATAAGTGCCCTGCTGTATCTTTCTCTCCCAGCAACAATAGTTTTCACCTTGCTACTGGAGGAAAGTAATCTAGGGTCATAATAGGCTGGGTGGTAGGAGGAAGATTCTGCCAAATCACCGTGACCATCCCCACTCCCAGCAGAGAAAATCCAGGTCCGTTTTCTTTCAAAAAATTCTGCCTCTGACTTTTGTGTTTTGCGAATCCATGATTGTGCCAGTATTTGTAGCCCTTCAGACCATCTCACTAATGGAAGAAAGCTATAAAAGAGAGAAGGCTTGAGGAGGAGAGAATAAAAGGAAACCAGGTAAAATATGTTGAAAATA